CAATATTTTGCAGAGCATATTTAGCATTTAACAACTACACCTCTTACGTTAATAATGGTTTTTAGTTAATGCGTGTTTTATTTTAAAATATTTGTTTAATAAATGACACTAACAAAACATCTTTTGAGTAATTTTTCTTTTAACTGTAATTCTTTTTTTTTTTTTTTTTTTTTTTTTTTTTTTTTTGTAAAATTAAATTACAACTAAACTAGTGAGTAAATATCTTGGTTAAATTTTTCATAATCCTGAACTGTCGAATTTGCATCAAAAGTCGGAGATTAGCAGGTAAAATTTTCGCATTATTTAGCGACATATTTTTATGTATTTAATATTCTATTTCTCATACATTATTAATTTTCACGTCATTTTTCAATGTATTATACAAAATATTTTTATCTCATTATTTAATATATATAGTATATAGGCGTCAAAACTATATTTGTACGAATTTTATATACTTTAAATAATTTTAATGAAACGTGTTTAAAATTATAGTATCTCTTGTATACTGCAACATGAAAGGGCCCAAGAGTGAAACTTCGTTGGAAAAATAAAGTTACAGGGGCAAGTCCATTTAACATTGAGGTAAATTGCTATCTCTGTAAACTGGCTAGATATCCAAGCTAGCGATGGTTTTGGCGACTAACTCCAAGTTGGCATACTTTGTCGGCAAATTTGACGAGAAATCGACAAAGTCTCCAAACTTGGCAACTTTATGGCGACATTTTATTCCTTTGTTAGTGTAATTCAATATTTCTAATTGATTCTGGATGTAACTGTATCCGCATCCGGCCCTTATATATGACTTCAACCGTATATGCTTTCCAGTAATTTCGTGTAAAGGCTGGTGCTGGAAATTTCTCAGCGGCCGGGGGAAAACTATATAACACCGGAGAGAGCATAAATTCAGTTAATTTTTTAGTTCAGAGTTGACTTCTGAGTATTAAAAGATGTCCATGCGGGCTTCGCTCTTTAGATACGTTTTGCGTTCATTCTGTTTAACATTCTTATGAGTTTGAAGTGGTAACTACTGACTGTGCTCTGTCATCTGAGAAGAGCTGTACGAGTACTTTTGTGGAAAGTTCCAGACCTATAAAGCGTGGCTTTTGGAAAAATAAATTTTATTAAACTATCATCGGTTTCGCATGCATTCAATCCATAACGAACCGTATGCATGCAACAATATTATATTTTAGTGATGTTTTAGAATATGATTTTTAGTGTATAAATTAATACGTACAAACTTTTCATTATATATTATGTAAAATAAACATCCCAGTCCTGCGTGCATTGAGAAAATTGTCCATTTCCAAGTAGTGCTTAAATTTCGAGTCTCATTAAAATGGTTGTTCATTTTTGAATAATTTAGAATAATTTTACGTAGAAATGTGTTTAGAAGTCTTAATTTATTTTTGTTCTTAATCGCTGATATGTGCTTCGAAAGTTTTTGCCCCTAACTTAGTATATCGTGTTTAGTCTTCATATCGGCATCTTTTCATCTTTAGCCCTTGGGTGCATCAGTTATTATTTCAACTTAAGTTAGTGATGGTAAGTAGGTAAAAAAATAATTATTAATGCTTTTCCTAGATTAGAAAAGAAAGAAAGATTAGAAAATCTTTCGAGAAAAGTTGTTTGATCATTTAATACTCAAATGGCCTTTTAAGTCGACTACTTTTATGAGCTGATAAAACTGTTTGTATTACTAATATATTCTAGTAGTAAGAGAAACATGCAAGTGTAGAATTTAAAATCAGGTAAAAAAACATTTTTTAATTGGTGTAGATTTCAAAATCTATAGCTGTCCAACATAGATCTGTTCTTTGATCTATTTTAAATGACTGATGCATCTGAAAGTCTTAATTTAAACGGTCTGAATATCTGTAATGAAACTGATTACTTTCTTCTGTAAAAAAGGATATAATAATAAAATAGTTGCCTTCATCCATTTCAAAAACAGCTTTATTTATTTTTCATTAAAAGAATTAATTACCGAACGGCTAAAGCTGCGAAGCGTTAAATTATTAGTAATTACTCCCATATTCTATTTTTACCAAATTCATACAACTTGTCGATTTGCAACAGTTTACGAGGTGGCCTACTAGTGATTTATGCGTTATGAGCTAATGATTGAAAAGGCTATTAATGAACATCGCGGCGAAAGACGTCATGTCAAAGAAAATGCAGTTTAGAAGATTAGTAATGATTTAGGGATCACAAACCAGCAAAGATTCTAGCATTAAAATTATTCTGGACTTGGATTAATATACTGAAAGCTGAATCACAGTTGAATAATGTGTAATAACATTTTAGACAAGATATTTTATCATATTGGAAGACGTTGTAAGTAATACGCTAACATATACCCACAATACTGCATCCTCCATTCGAATTGAAAAGAAAGAATATTGTCGCAAGGTCTGAGACAAAAGTTCGCGGAATAAATACAGATACAAATTCCGCTACCAGATGTAAAAGTGCAGCAAACATGCTGTTACCAAGGAACAACTAATTGAATAGTTTGCTAGAAATTTGAATGTGAGCCCAATTTTAATTATTAACATGATAGATATTGCATTTGATTACGTAAAAGCTCTTTGAAGAGACAGAATTTTGGAAAAAATCAAATGCTGTGTTTACTCGCTTATTCCCCGTTCGTTTACAAATACAAGTGCAGCGTACGAATTATAAATTTCTAATTTATGGTAGCAATGTATAATGTATCAGTAAAAGTAAAGCATGTTGTGAAATCAAAAGTTTGCTCAATCAAATGCTGTGTTTATGTATCAATCCTTCTCCCAGCAATGATGCATAATTTTCCTCTTCTTTTTTTCCAAATTAGTAAAGGGGTGGGAAGGAGGAAATTCGTAAGTCTTGAAGAGGGAAGTATGCAATATGAAATTAGTACGCATGAAATATTCTTAATAAATGTAGCTTATATTATAAAGTTTTTTAACCCAGTTAGAAGACATATGAGTCTATACGATATCTTAAAAAATATAATAATGAATATAAAGATGAATATTTTAACTGTTTGAAGTACTAACAAATTAATTAATTGCATGTTTGTTTAGAAACACTGAATACGATAATTATTTTGACAGAAGAGTTTTTAGTTTTACATAATATGTGAATGTTATTTTTCAATGATTATATAAATTCGCTAATCAGAATATCCTCAAAAATATCTCGGATGTGAAATATTTTTTGGGGAATGTCGGAAAAATGTCTTTTGAGAATTTTCGTCAAATTAGACATTAAAATTATTTTATTTGTGTTTCTGCTATTAAATTTTCCAGATACTTTATGGACTACACCATACTGCGCTGTGCACTGCTATCTGGTTTTTAAGGGCAGTCCTTCAAAGGCATAATCTTTTGAGATTGTGCCTTTAAAGGAAATCTCATCATCTTTAAAGTTTCATCTCATCATCTTTAAAGACATCTCATCATCTTTCATTGTGCCTTTAAAGGATTTCAGCCTTTAAAGTGCAGATATCAGTTCAACGTAACAAATGTAGGTATCAGATGGGCTGGTTGATATTTTCATGATGTGATTTAACTTTTTGTTTTCAGTAGATAGACAGTAAACAAAACCTCTGTTCATAAAGAAATGCTGTGCTAAATAGGGCCGACGCTGCTGACCGTTTTCTCAGTTTACATATATGAAATTATTTTCGTGTCTTCAGAGAATTAAGCTGTATACTGCTCATAACAGAAGGGCATAAACCAGTTAGTTGTATTACATTCTCTCACTGTACTCTCCTCAAATATGCTGTTAATATGGTAATTTTACTTGATTAGATTGAGCTCCGGTTTGAAAGTATAAAGCAGACACCCATAAACATAGGTCTTAGTTAAGGTTTCACCAGATGGTATTGTTTAGCTTTTACGCTATTTTATATTTTCTCATACTTTTATTTGTATATTTTTTAAATGAAATTTTGAAAACGGTTCTTGTGAAAAGAGTTTTCGCTAACTTTTAAAGCGATCAGAAATTTTCTAGCAATCTGTTACGTTATTTAGTTTAACTACTACTTAAACAGCTTTGTCTGGTCTTTGAATGATTATTAAATGTTAACACATATTTAAATAACACTCTGTTAGCAACATGCAGTGATATTAATTTTGATTTACAGGTTTCTGTCCCAAGACTCAATACATAACATAAACATTTAAAAACATAATATTTGCATTGTTTTATCTCCGTGTCTTTTCCGCATTGCTTAGGCGCCCAACTTTAAGATTCGTACTTCACTGCCTGCTCTATGATCTCGCAGTGAAAATCGTTTCAAAGGGGTGCGTTTTGCGACCATTTAGTTTTTACTTTGAAATGCATTCCAGAATAATTGGAAACTTTCAAATGGTTTAAATTATTTTATTTTATTTTGATACTATATATTTCGGGGTATATTAAGAGGGCTTTTCTGTCCCCCTTCCTCCCAAAAAAGGTGTCCAGCTGTAAGAAAAAGTTGTTGGTGTAATGAGAAGTTCAGTTAATAATTTATTTTAAGGACTAAATATGGGAAAAGGAATATTCTTTGTTTCGAAAAATTTGAACAGTTTTTGCGTTTTAAATAAAAGTTAAATGTAGTTTCAAAATATTTAAATTAAATTTTGAATTTCATTGGAGAGGGAACTGTATAAGAAAAGAAGAAATATTTAAAAATAGTATGAATTCTTATTCCATTATTTGGGTATCGATGTTAATTGATGAATAACCGATTTCAAGGAAATAGGGTCACATTGTAGTAGGAACTGTAGTATAGTGACGAAACATACAAAATGGTCCAAAAAATTTATGGAAGGTATTGTTTTACCGAGATATAAATTTCTGTTAGTTTAAATGTATGATTACTATAGCAGTGTAATAAGAGTTTAAAAATATGGCCTTGTTTCTTAGTTTGAAAAATATTTTAGATTAATACTTACCTTTCGGATACTTGACTCTTGTTTATCGTAAGAATTACGAAGATAAGTAAATTTGTATTTTTTATTTTTCAGAGGAACAGGAAAGGGTACAGAAAAAGGTGTTCACAAATTGGACCAATCATTATTTAGCACAGGTATATTTGTTTTGCATTATAAAAATCATTTTATAATATGGATTATTTTTTAAGTAGCGATACAAGGGATAAAAATAAACTAAAAAAGAATGGAATAAATAGTAAATAAATTATTCTTCACGCTTCTTGTTTTCTTTTAGCATGAACCTCCTCTCAGAGTGGAAGATTTAATCGAGGATTTGAGAGATGGTGCTAAACTTATTGCCCTTATTGAACATTTGTCTGGAGAACGACTGGTAAGGTTTTCTTGCACATTTCTGACATTCATAGCTAAAAAGGTGTGATGTATTTTATTTAAAACAATGTAATTTTAAAAGAAGTTCTTAAAATTTAAGATTAAACTTTATTAGTTATTAAACTACACCTGTTTAATCTTCCTTTTCTGGAGAAGAATTCTCTTCTTCCTGTTAATTAGAGGTCTGAATTTCATGAACATAGATAAGAGTTAAAACTAAACTAAAAGATTTATATTAAAAGCTGCGTTTTATGTTAAAATTTAAAATCTGTAGTGTTAAAATTTAACATAAACTAGCCCTGCTTTTTGTGAGATATTGGAAATTCCACTACTTAAATGTGTACAAAATAGAAGATGAAAAACTAAAAGATTCATATTAAAAGTTGTGTTTTATATTACAACTCAAATTTAACATAAATTAGCCATACGTTTTATGGGGTATTGGAAGTTCCAGTACATATGAACAAAACAGAAGATGACTTTCAATGTCCACGAGCTAGCAGTTGTAAAATTCGCTCACCAAATCCAGACAACGGACGTCTTAAGAAATAAACAGCTTTCTGTCAAATTGCCACAGTTCGCTATTTAAATTTAATTTGCATTCTGTAATGACTGACGGAAGAAACATAATTAAAGAAAAGAATTAACATAAAAATAACGTGTTAGCTACGATACATAATAGAACAAAAACTAATTTTAGATATCTATAGTGTAGAGATCATAATTTTGAAAGAGGCATGTTTTGTTTTCTGGATCACTGATTCCTGCCTTATCTTTACTCATATTTTTTTCGTATGAATTCAGTGGGCTAGATCTCAGAATTCCATTCGTTCTAATCCGATAATTAATTTCGTTTTAAAAAATTAATTAGTTTTTGGAGGGACTGTGAGGTAGGGAATGACATAATGTATGATGAGAGAAGGGGAATAGAGCGATAAAGATGTTGAAAACCATTGTCTTAATTTGTTCAGCTGGCATCCATATTTATTACGTAAATAATCGGAAAATATAATCATGAATTTCATTTTGATGTAATTTGCAGTTCTATGGAAAGTAGTATTGTAGATAGTAACTCGAGATTAAAACACGTTTATACATAATTATATTATTGTAAATTATTACACAGAATTATTACGAACGAAGTTATCGAAAATAGTTTCAAACTAAAGAAATATTTTATATTTATTAACCTTTTCACCTGAATTATACTATGCCATCATAATGCTCTGAGTTTCTATGTGACCTGTTGTTTTATTCATAAGCAATCATGTTTTTATGGAATATGTTCATTAAATGCATTTTTGTATGGATAATATCATTTGCTTTGTTACTATGCATTTAATATTAAACTTTTGATAACAATATGAGTCATTTTAAGTAACTTAAATTTCAAATTTTTAGCACTGTGAGAAAGGACGCAGGTTGAGGCGCCCACATTTTCTGAGTAATGTAAATCAAGTTTTACAGTTTCTAGAAAGGAAAAGGGTATGTAGATAAATTCATTTAATTTCACTATTTTCATTTTCCTTTTGGTGATATTTGTAAACAGTTTGTGATATTTTTCTTTTAAGTTCTGAAATAACTAATCTTTAAAATTTCCAGTGATTTAATTCCAAAATAAAGTACCCATTACTGATGAAAGACCTTATTATGATGATAAATACTGACGTGTCTTCAGCAATAAAGCCTTTTATCACTAAAGGGTACCTTATTCTGGAATTAATTGTTTGGAAATCGTGAATATTGCACTATTATGGCATCTCTTGATTACCGCTAAATTCAAATATTTTTCATGCTGCATTTTCTCGTAATGTGATTTCTAGTGATTTAATTTCAAAATAAAGTACCCATTACTGATGAAAGACCTTATTATGATGATAAATACTGACGTGTCTTCAGCAATAAAGCCTTTTATCTCTAAAGGGTACCTTATTCTGGAATTAATTATTTGGAAATCGTGAATATTGCACTATTATGGCATCTCTTGATTACCGCTAAATTCAAATATTTTTCATGCTGCATTTTCTCGTAATGTGATTTCCAGTGATTTAATTCCAAAATAAAGTACCCATTACTGATGAAAGAGCTTATTATGATGATAAATACTGACGTGTCTTCAGCAATAAAGCCTTTTATCTCTAAAGGGTACCTTATTCTGGAATTAATTGTTTGGAAATCGTGAATATTGCACTATTATGACATCCCTTGATTACCGCTAAATTCAAATATTTTTCATGCTGCATTTTCTCGTAATGTTAATTTGGCAACAGTGTTTTTGTGTATATCAAAGGAAAAAAATTATATGATAAATGAACAGTAAAAATAATATAATTTACATGAGCATTAGTAAAGATATTTTAACAGAGAAACGTAAAATAATTATAACTCATATCAAATGTATTTTCTAATGAATTTTGATAAATTAGCAAGTTGTGGAATGAGCAGTTTGTTCAGCAAGTTGGTGGGGGGAGCAATTAATTAAGTTCTATTGGTGTCAAATTATCCAGGTAAAGAGAAATTTAAAAGAAAGTGTCTTTTGAATAAATGAATTTAAATTTTAAAAACGTAATGTATTAACATTTTCCTCATTTTAACACAGTTTCATAATTTACTTTCTGTATTAAACTGCACAATGTGTTAATACTTACTGCCGTGGAAATTGTTTATTACGTAGGTAAGTTGAAAAATAAGTTTCCCCTGTCGACTGTGGTCAGAGTTGTGTATGAAAGTCAAAAAATAGAATGAGACATTAAAGATATGACATACCTTTATTTTTCCACATAGGTACCAAGTACATTGAGACATTTGTCATATCGCTTGATAAGCTTCAAAAAGGCCCTCCAGGAAAAAATCAGGGCTTTGCATATGGAAGAAGCGTTGAACGGCTTGTTTCACTTCAGTATTGCTTCCAAAGCGCCTTCCCCCAAGATTTTTCTTCAAATGGACAACGCATGGGGATCAGCCTGGAACATCTCGTGCGTTACCATGAAGATGGCAATGACTTTCTGTTTCGGATTGTGACGGGGGATGAAACGTGGGTCCACCATTTCACGCCAGAATCGAAGGCCGCATCTATGGAGTGGAAAACATCCGTCATCACCTGTCCGAAAGAAGTTCAAGACACTCCCTCTGCAGGTAAAAGTGTTCCTCACAGTTTTCTGGGACGCCCAAGGAGTTTTGTTGCTGGACTTTTTGGAGGTTGGAACCATCAATGCTACGCGCTACTGTGACACCTTGTCGAAATTGAAAGAGGCGATTCGGAAAAAGCGGCCTGGCCTTCTCACATCTGGCGTTCTGCTGTTGGATGACAATGCCAGACCACATTCGGCGACGGCAACGCAAAACCATATTGCAACTCTTGGTTGGGAGTGCCTACACCATCCGCCATACAGTCCTGATCTCGCACCAAGCGACTTCCATCTGTTTCTGGCTTTGAAGAAAAATCTCGGGGGAAGGCGCTTTGGAAGCAATACTGAAGTGAAACAAGCCATTCAACGCTTCTTCCATATGCAAAGCCCTGATTTTTTCCTGGAGGGCTTTTTGAAGCTTATCAAGCGATATGACAAATGTCTCAATGTACTTGGTACCTGTGTACTATATTTATGTAAAATTAAAGGTATGTCATATCTTCAATGTCTCATTCTATTTTTTGACTTTCATACACAACTCTGACCACAGTCGACAGGGGAAACTTATTTTTCAACTTACCCTCGTATAAAGACTGTTTTGGAATCTATTTAAAAAGTATTCAATAATAGTATGTTTTTGGATTTTCCATGGCATATCACCTTCAAAACTATGTAATGTCTGAAAGATGCTTTCATACAGTGTTAAACCTGGAGAAGCTTTTTGTATGTGAAAATAAATTTCATGTTTCTTTTCTGAGCTATCTTCTGTATTAGAAATGTTTGCACATTCAGGAGGCTGAATAAAAACTATGCCTAAAATTCTTTTTCTCGTATTTATCCTGCAATTGTTCATGATTTGAGAAGCTTGTATATTATAATTAATTATTATTAGAATCAATTTTAAATGCATTAATTCACTAGGATATTTTTATAGTGTTCCGGAAACAAAACAAAACAAAACAACAACAAAAAAAAAAAAAAACATCAATTGGATAATATTTTGACATAATTGAAATAAAACTCTTAAAATACATTAAAACAAATAAATTAATATAAAATACTTTTTCTCTTTGTATGCATACTTTGGTAAAATTCAACAGTTTTTTGTGCAATTCAAAGTACTTTGAAAATATGTTTTTTAGTTATATCATATTTGATATATATATATGACATAAAATAGCTCTTAGAAGGATCATGTAATAAAATAATTAAATCTCATTTTCTTTTTTCAGATCAAATTGGTTAATATTAACGCTACAGATATTGTTGATGGTAAGCCTGCCATAACTCTTGGTTTGATATGGACAATTATATTACATTTTCAGGTATGGAATTTTCTCACATTTTTTATATGTCTAGTTGACCAATCATATTAAGGTTATTTTGAATTAAAAATTACTGACATTATAGAAAAAATATAATAGGTTAATTTCATTATTGCTTTTTAAAGCAATATTACATGAATGGGAAAATTAAAAAAAAAGGGGGGGGGTCAATTTGTGCTGGTTTTATTTATTTCAACTTCATACTCCAGTACTCATAATCTGGCGAATTAAAAATTTTTTACCATTAGTTTGGGCATGTGGCACCATATTAGAACATAATATCACTCAGGATGTGAAAAAAATTTGTTATTTTTACAGTTATGTTAATTTCTTATAATTCAGCTGTATTATTTTTCTTCAGGGTGCCAGTTAAGAGATCAAGAGGCATGAAAATGATGATATGTAAATATAAAACATTAACTTTGTTTAGAATGCAGTAGATGAAAAAGGAAATGTTTGCAAAGATATAGTTTGGAGTATATTTTCAGGGGAAGGCTTAAAGGGAACAAATTTTAAGCCTTTTGGATGTAAGAAAAAGAAATGCTTAAACTTACTGAATCTTTTCTAGAGACATTAATGAAACTGTTTTTTTTTTCCTGTTTTATGCTTTCTTTTAATGTTCATCTCGTAGTTGCGAGCTAAGTAAGCCTAGGAGTTGAAACACCATTTTTTCTGTACATAGTGAGTTCTAATATTAACTAAAATAATAACTTAAAAAAAAAAATGTTGAACATACAAAAACAAGAGATACCAGTTCTTGCTTTTTGTATATCCATTATGGAATTCTTTTGCAGGCGAGTTTCTGTTTAGATTATCAACATATAATGATTATAAATTTATGATAAATTATAGACGCACAACTGATGACATTTTCTAGTTTTTTAATAAAATTTTAAGTATATGAGCTTTGTTATTGAGTAGAAAGATTTATTTGAAGATTCAATTCTATAAAGATAATTTTTAAATCTAAATTTTTTAAATAGCCACCCAGATGGTATAGTGATTAGGGAAGCCGACTGTGATGCCAAAGAGCCCGGATTTGAATCCGGGAGGAGGCATAATTGTAACTGTCTGTCCCCTTCATAGGAGGCAAAAGTTACCCACCTATTAGCTGCCTCCATAATAAAGTGACTACCACTTCTGACCTTAGTTGTTGCCAAGCCAAAGTCGGCTAAGGCCACACCACTGGGAGGGGGGATTAAATTAATTTGTATAAAAAAAGCTTCTAGAAATAGTTTTCATATCTTAAACAGACACCAAAACCAGTAATTTTTTGATAACTTAAGAATGTACTATGGATCAGTGAGACAAGAATTGTGCATGGCTGTTATTGATTGAATTATCATCATTTTTTGACTTCATTAATAGCAGTAGCTGTCTGCTAGGTTTCTTGATTAAAATATAAGCTAAATTTGAAACTGCATGCGCACATTGCATATCTTTCTTATTGTAGTGAATACTATTATGTGATTTTCAAGCTTAATAAGCTATAGTTCATTATAACCCAGAAGAATTATAATGAACAATTCACAAACTGTAGCTCATATTGTACATTGTTGGTCAAGGTAGTTGCAATAGCAAAGAAGACTTCAGCTAACAGACTGATAGTGTGGAGGATAACTTAAAATAATTTAAATTATAAATTGTAATGTCTAGTAGAAAATCTGAAAATGTGTGCTATGTGAGTTTAGGTGCAAATAGTTAGCCCTACTTGAATAGTGTGCTCTTATAACATGAGGAAGTGTCAGTGTCATCATAAGTGCTCCATGATTCCTCTGTATTTCAGTGCTACTGAAAACTGATCATGGATTCTTTGAATAAGTATACTAGATATTTATTACAAACATGTGAAAATATAAAACTGAAAGTTTTAACATACTTAATATTAGTAATTCTTTATGATTTTAAAAACCTATAAAGAAAAGCATTGTAATTGAAGCTGTATATGGAATGATAAATCTTTGTGGCTGAATTATTAGGAACAGTTCAACTCTATTTTACAGAAATTGTCATTAGTGCTGTTAGTACAAAGAAAGTACAGTACAAAGTCCGAAATTCGGACTCGTAGAGACTTCGGCGATTCCGAATTTGGGATTTTTCCGGATAATAGATCATCAATTTAAATCTGGTGAGATGGCATGCAGATATTATATAATTAAAAATATAAAATCGTATTTTATGAAATAAAGAACATCATGTTCTAAAGGGTATCAAAATTTACACACAAAAAAAAAAAAAAAAAAAAAAAAAAAAAAAGCTTAATATTTATTTGTTTGCTTTATTAAATATTTCTTTCAATGTAAATTGTTTAAGTTGCTTCCATAAAAAATTCAAACAGTTCCTTTTTCTTATGTCATATACAGTTGACTTTCCAATGCCAGACTCCTCGCATAATTTTGAGACAGATATATATGCCTTTAACCATTTTTTGCAGGAATTCCACTTTTTGTTTAATGGACATCGAAACATGGTTTCTCTGTGTAGATCCTTTAGCAGCTTCAGAACTGAAACCTCTTTTCGATGTAATCGAAAGTTCAAGCTCAATTTTTATAAAATTGTTGTAATAATAACAGTCTGCAAAAAATAGTAAGCTGGATCAAATTAGAAGTTTAAGGAGCAGCACAAGTCTGTTACATTAACTAAAATGCCTTAGAATCAGTCAAGATAATTTAGCCTAGCTTAATAGCGTCCGTTATGCATTATTGGCTGTGTATCACAAGATTGGCGACGAAAGCCATGTTGCTCCGCTAAATTTTGTCTTGCTCTTATTGCGTACTGAATTAAGCCTGAATTGGATTAGTTATTTACTATACCTATGTTTATTTCTTGCACATGCTTAAAACTAATCTGAGTCCTGAATAAATAAACTCCCACATATACTTAAGGCTTTATCTAGGGCCGGCGCTGGATACCGCCTGATGCAGTCTCTAAATTCTGCTACAAAACGCCTTCCTAAGTTCTAAATTTTCACCGCGCTTAAACTTTGGATCCCAGTGCTTTCCCCCCTAAATTATAAAAAACGTCTTATACCTTAATTTTTCCGCTCGGTGCTTCCCTAAATTCTGCCGTGCAGTGTCTTCCCTAAATTTTTCCTGCTTCTGGGTTTATGGTTTAACATATCAGTTATTCTTAATTAAAGTAACACTAAATATAATCTTTTGGCTTATGAGTTTCATTAACAAAAAACTGTTTTTAGCCATATGAAAATAAATTTTTGTTGAATTTTTCCTCGTCAACATTTCTTAGAGCATTTAAAAAATTTATAATCATCGCCAAGCATAATGTTAGCAGAAAAGGTTGCCTTATTGTTATTCAATTACTAATATAAAAAAAGTATAGACATCACTGCATGAGTTGTTACTACTATGTTGAACTGCGGTGCTTAACCACCAGGGTGCCTGGGCGCCATAGCCCTACCCCTTATCGAATAACATGATAAAAGTTTCGAATTATTGAAGCTGTCATGTATTGAACATGTGGTGTTGAAAGCAAAAATATAATAAATAATGATTCGCCAGGTCGGCATCAGGGATATAAAATAGGTGAATGTTTCGGTTTGAGATATAATGCCAAGCAGACACTCAGCTGCCGAGCCAAATTATTAATCTCACAAATTTATGCTTACATGATTGTTTTTTCATAACGATGTATTTTATTTAGTGCCTGAGTGAAATTAAGAATCGGAATTTTTAAGCGAAAATCTCCACACGTTTTATGCGTAAAGCATACCCCCCCCCGAAAAAAAAAGTTTGTGGCTTTGAGGTACGGAATTTAGATCATTTCCGGATAATGGACGTCCAGATTTCGGACTTTGTACTGTATTTTATAAAGTGTGTTGTTTATTAATTTCAGTGTTATTTGTTTTATTTCTCTTTCAAGACAGCATAACCAAGCAATTTTCTGCAAAAACATATATGTTCCAACTCCATACTTCTGGCTAGGAAACAAACTTCTATCATCATATTGATTGCGATAAAATTTTTCTAAACATAAGAAATATATCTCTTAAGTTAATTATAGCAATAAATAAAGAATAAAATAGACTGACACGCATTAAAAGTATTTATTGCCAGTTTGATGACAAGAGCACTGTTGTAGTTGTAAGAGACATTTAATTTAGAGACATTTTATAAGACAGTATCACAATTCATTTAATAGTGCCTGTTAAATAATATTGGGGCATACACTTTTCTGTAAAAAAACTGTTTTGGGTATGTTGTCGTATAGTGAGAAGATTATATTATTTTTTGATTGTGTTAAATTTAATTCATCTTTTCAAAATGAATTTTAGATTGAAGAGAAAACAAGGTTGCTCACTGAGCAGATGGCATATCTTCAGACTTGTGCCAGCAGTACCAGTAGTATTGACAGTATTGGTCGAACACACAGTCCAGTGCCCAGCATAGATTCTCCACACAGATTTGGCAGCACTGCTCCTGCGGCGGCTATCAAACCTTCTGTTGTTGAAAGATGGAAAGGAGGGGCAAGAAAAGCTCTACTTCATTGGGTGAAAAATAGTATCAGCCAGTAGGTTTTATTTTTATATTTAGTTTGTTTTAAGTTTTAATATGATTTAGAAGTATATACAATCTTAGTTTTGATCTAACAGAATAATATTAGGCACAATATTCATAATTAATTGAAAATCTTGGTTAATCCGAGGGCAGTTAAGAGGGCAGTTAAAAGAAATGGAAGGAAGAGGAATAACCTGTCTTACATTAACAGAAAATGCTATTAAAAATTTGCCTATATTTTCAGTTGATTACTCTTAATCTGGAGATTTGTTTGCATAAACAGAATGTGTATTTAAAACAAAAAGAAAACATGGTAAATAATGGTGACATAAATATCATTAGAAATAAAGAAATTGATTTATAGAAGGATATTTATTGGAGAATTTAAATAATGTTATTGAATTCAAACTTGCATTAAAAAATCAATTAGAATTTTTTTATTATTATTATACAATGTTTAGATAGATTATATGCTGCTGCATGTTAATAAAAATAACTCCTGTATACTATGGCATCATCTGCTATTACTGTTGTTAATCTCACAAATTGTTCTTTTCTTTTTCTTTCTTTTTTTTTTCCTTTTCTTCTTCTTTTTTCCCCCTTTTTTCTTTTTCTTCCCCCCTTTTTTTCTATAAACAATTTTATTTTATGTTGATGATTTATAATAGTAACTTTTCCATCATTCTGCATTTAATGAAATTTTTTGTTTCAAAAGCATAATTAAACTGCAAGCATGTTAATCTTCCCTTCAATAATCAGTAGTTGTATGATATTCAAGTTTGCAAATCAGATATTGTAAAAAAAAAGTTGTATAACAAATAAAGCAGGAGAACAGTTTTAATGTTTATAGCAGATTAAATAGAAACCTTCATAATAAACTGAAATACAAACCTTCAGTTAGAAACTGAAAAACATTTCTACTGTATTGAGTCTCATTTATCATCTTAACATAAAGATTTAAATTTGGATGTTATTAAAATACATAATTTTTTTATTGTTTGTCCTAAACAATGGATATTTAACATTTTGTTATGCAGATGAGCATTCCAGAGTTTGCTGAAATGAGACACTTATTACTTTCTTCTTATTAGTTTTTATTATGAAGATCATATAATCTATTTTTTAAGTTATAGTGAAAGTTATACAATCAACAGGTATTACTACAATAAGCTGCATAATTTCATATTCCAAACTTTATTAATGGAGTGGTGTGAATTTATTACTCAGTTAAAGTCTGCATTCATTCATGAGATCTGTTTTATTTTGTCTTAAATATGCCTTAAGTAAGATTTTTGAGAATAATTTTCAAAATATATGATGATCATTTTCAGACACTGTTCTACTCTTATTTTAAAATTAATTGACAATCTTAATTTTAATACATGATCTGTTTAATTTGTTGCAGATATCTCATAAATAATTAACAGATGCTGTTTCATATTGCCTTAGATGTGTAATATTTTATCTGTTTACTTAAATACTATATAAGTATCAGAAGGATTAATTACTAACAATTTTTTCCCATCAACAAAATTTTTCAAAACGCCAGAATTTTATTACTTTTGCTCTCACTTTTGTTTTGACTTTTTTCTTTATGCGCAAATTTTTTTAACTTAATTTTTAACTTTTTAAATTTTGAAGATATAATTTTTTTTTGTTAATATTTGAATATGTGTTGCTTTTCAGGCGCTTTGGTGTTCAGGTGAATGATTTTGGTAGTAGTTGGCGTGATGGAATGGCCTTTCTTGCTATTATTCACCGTATTCGTCCAGGCTTGGTAAATATGGATGATTTAAGAAATGCCAGTAATTTTAAACGCTTGGAGACTGCTTTCAGAGTAGCAGAATCTGAATTGGGAATTGCACGATTACTGGATCCTGAAGGTAATTACTTTCATAAACCAGAACTGGCATGTAAAGTAAAGCAGTAACCTCAATTCACAATTAATAGCTTACTTTTGGTAATTACATTAAAACTACATTTTTAATGGTAGCCTTTTTGTAATATTTAATTTACATTTCTTTTAATCAGTATTTTATAGTTCTTTTTTTTTTCCTACCTAAAATAATATCTCTAATTCCTTTTAATTTTTCTGAGTTTTTGGGAGTAATTTGCTACCTGAATTTTATTTTTCAGATGTTGATGTCCCTCATCCAGATGAAAAATCTATAATGACATATGTAGCACAATTTTTACATCTTTATCCTGAAACATATGCTTCAGCAGATTTAGATGAAACTGATTTGTCTATGCCCCAAGCCAGCGATTTAGAAATTTTGTCACTGTGGTTAGATAAAGCTGAATCAATATTATTTAGTCAACAAAAATTTTCGAAAGACTACAAAACGCAATATCATGTAAGGAATTTTTTGTGTTTCTCATAAATTTACTGGTTAAAAATAATTATTAATTTCAGCATCATCCCATAATTTTTGTTTTCTTTTGCTTACCAGTTTTTTAATAGTGCACAATAATGTCTGAGAAATAATTGAGCGTGTCTTTAATTTCTTTTACAATTATTGAAGTATTTGTTTCCTTAGTTCAATAATTCTTTTCTGATTTTTCGATTTTATAAAATTTAAATTAAAACCAAGAACAAATCATTTCAGTTAGAGATTTTTAACTTTAATATAATTGTATTATTTTTCAGGAATTTTATATTTTGAAGACTGAAATGAAAAATTATCGCGATATCTACGAACGACTACGATCGAAAGTTAATTCTTCAGCTCATGACGTTGATTTGAGAGCTGCATGGCCGAGCGTTTTGCAAAGGTGGGCTAAAGTAGAAAAAGCATTGCAAGATTGGCAGCTATATTTAGATACCAGTGTACGTGGAAATTTGGGCCAACTAATCAAATGGTTGATTGATGCTGAAAAAAGACTTACATTACCACTTTTACCTCAAACCCAAACCAGCAATATGCTGCAGGTTGTGAATAAAGCCATAGAAGAGCATCAGGTAGTTCATTCATATTATAGAATATAAAAGTAATATATATATAGAGAGAGAGAGATACTAGCAGTTTTTTAAAATCTATACTACATTTATAAGTTTCATTTATATAATTTGATCATAGGTAAAGTCTTGCTTTTTATTGGAAAATGAAAATGAGACATATGTTTTTAATTGTTATTTGAATACTTATTCTGCTTTCTTTCTACAAACAAAATATATAAAAATGTGTAATTTTCTTTTCGAAAACCATATAAATGGAACCATATATGTATAAAGTTATTCTTTCATATTCATTTCCATTTTGCTAATTTAAACCCTAAGAAAAATTGTGAAACTTTAATGATAACTTTAAAGCAGAAGGACTAGAAAAATTCTTATTAATGATTGTACTTCCTCCCTTTGACTGTGAGTTAATGAAAAAGATGTACAATACTTGAATATCCTGTTAACACTGATGTAAAAAGTTTTTGTCATAATGCAAGATTCAAAACATACTTCCTTTAAAATTTCTTAAAATGAATTTTAAGCAATATTTCATGTTAACCACTATTCAGGGCCACCCTAAAATGTGCCTAACTATTTTAAAAAAACTCTCTTTGCCTACAGGTAAACAAGGCTAGTTCCAGAACCTCCTGTAGTGAAATTGCACTTATATGTGCTGTGTATATTAGTATGTCCATTCTACGTAAATTGTAATAAAAGCTGCCTTATACTGAAATCACCTGAGTACTTTTTTTTTACCTTGTATAATTACAATTTAAAAAAGTTGTTTTATTATAATATTTAGTTTATTTAGCTTTTTCTTTCTTCTTTCTTTTCTTGGAAGGAGTTCTTCAAGCCTCTGGACAGTCACAAGAAATTTTTACTGAGATTTCATCTAGATTCAGAATTTTCCAATATATTGCCTGAGCACACTGAAGATATTCAAAATAGGTTAGATTGTGTGGCAGTTCAGTCACATCAAAGGCATATGAAACTGCTGCTTGAGCATGCCAGATATATGCTGTTAGATCATTTATCAAATGTTGAAGAAAATCTAAAAAAATGGAATCAAAAATATGGTTTGGAACCAGAAGTTCAGAATATCTTGCAAGAACATAAGGTATAAGAAAAATTATTGGCTTGTTTTTCCCACAAATTAAAATTTGGAATTATTTAATTTTATTTTATATAGTTTTTAATAGTTTTGCATTAATTTTTCTAGGAGAGATTTTTGTTCAACATCTCCTTCAATGATTTCATTTTTACAAGTTTCATTATGCATTTTATGATATTTCCAAGGTCTCACGTTAATCAGAGACAATTAAACATTACTTCAAACCTCCAGCACCCAATAGAATAAGATATTGTAAAATCTTGTTTATTTAATGTTTAGCACAATTGTAGAATTTTAAATTAAGAATTACAATTATAGGTCTTTACTGTTATACTTTTTCATGAAATGTTTTGTCCTGCAAATCTTAAATGATGTAAATCAAACATTTCAACATAAAAATACTTAAGAAATTAGACAGAAAGTGAATGTTATTTTATGCCAGAAAGAAAATTACTGAAAAATACAAAAAATAATATTTTCACAGATTTTTTATGGCAAAATAAATGTAATCTCTTTCATGCAGTTTGAGTAATAGTTTCTCATATCTTATATCCCTTTCTTTGGGTGCATATGTGAGCTATTTGATAGAACATAAATCGTTATTCGGGTAAAACAGTTATTTATTTTATGAAAAAAAATTATTAGTTTTTATTTTTGGATATAAGCCTAGTAATATCTAAACTTTTATCATAACTAAGATCATTTCAGAGCCTTGAGAGCAAAGTTTCAATGAAGACATTAACCTGATGCTTAAATAATTGTACCTATATATATGTATAATATAAATAAAGTAAATTTATAGATTAGCTACATTTGGAATAGTAGAAAAGTATTTTCATATTATGCTGGAGAATCTATAAAAACATATCTTGATTTACACTATAAAAGACAAGAAAATAAGTTTTCAAAGTTGTGGAAGTTATCCTGATAAATTTTGATTGAAAAATAATTAGCTATTGATTCTGTGAAATCCTTTTGATTAAAGATTTTTTAGTTTTGGTTCTTGATGCTTTTACAGCATTTTTTTTCTTTCTATATTATGTAATTATTCATTTTCAGATCTTTGTGGAGCAAAATAAGATTTTTGAAGAATATGACAGATGTTATGCTAATATGAAAACAAATATTGAAACTTGTCAACAAGTTGGAGCACTTGGTTTGTATATTATTAATTCTGAATTTTTATTATAGTTTAATGTTAGTTATATGTTGTGTATCCTTTGTTTAGTTACTATCTATGTCCTGTTTGATTTTTTAATTGTATTATTTAACTATAATTCTTTCTCTGCATGTATTGTATATTATTATTTTACTTATATTGCTTATCTTACTTTTAGATGCAAAAGAAATGGACAAAGTAGAAAAATTTTTATGTGATGTTGATGGTCTTTGGAAAAAAATGATGGTTGAGCTTCATTCTGTTGGGAATACAGCAAATCAAGTTCTAAAACACTGGCAACAGTATTCAAAACATTATGGTCTTTTGTTAAAATGGCTTGATAAGGCTGAAGAAGTCATTAAGAAAGATTCAGACTTTCAGTTGGTGAGAATTTTCTAATATTCATCACTGCTATGTTTTGTAACATGTTTATCAAATTTGAGACGTTTTCAGAACAAACTGAATGTATTTGTAGCAGTTTCAAATGATTATTTATTAGACGGACTAATTTTAGCTATGAATATTTTGAACTAAATTAAAGAAATTAAGGCAAAATTATTTAAATGAAAATAAATGAATTGGATATACAGATACATAATATTTAAATTCTAATTTAAATTAACTACAGAGAGATTTTTTGCATGATTCTGAAAATAATTTCATAAAATCAGTACATCCGTTTTGACTATCCGTTCTATCCGTTTTGAAGCAAAATAAAACTCACACTCATTAAAAGATTCTAAAAGAGACTCCAGAGGTATTTTTATAGTACAAGCACCACCATACTTTTTTACTATTACTTTTATATTTATAAACCTGAAAATTATTACATTAATAATTTTATGCAAGTTTTCTCTCATTTATTATTATTTAAAGAGTCCCCTGAAGCATCATAGTCTGTTTTCCTTTGTATTCTTTTAAATTAAATTGTAGCCAATAAATTTTGCTTGCAATTGGTGCAAATTTTTTAATGCAGATTAAAAATTTCTGTGTTTTTTAAATTCTGCTTGGTTAATTAAAAATGAAATTTCATAACTAAAGTGTGTTTACTTTAAGTTTTTATATGACACATAAAACCATGTTATTAATTTATTTTATCAAACTGTTGATAAAACCTTAAGTGGCATTTACATAACTATCTTGATAATTTCACTATTTAATCACTCAACTAACAGATTAGTTGAATGCAATACTAATATATTTTCTCCTAAAATGTTAAACAGGTGATATACAGTATAATGGAAACTAATTTGTGTGTTAAAGTTCGTAAGCAAAAGAATTTCATACTCAGTGTACCAGTATTGTTTTAAACATTCATTCTCACTTATCAATAATTTTGATATTGAGGTATTTTTGGTTGTTCACTCTCTCTAAATTTTTAACATGGTGTTTATAGAAATATGAAATTTTTTTGAAAACATTCAGTTTAATATTTCTTTTCCAATATTATTTTTCCAAGTGTTTTTATGATATGCATGGTTTAAATGTAATCTGAAAAATATGTATGATTATTTTCGTATACTTTTTATATGTCTGTTTAATGCTGTTGATTATTGTTAGATTATTTTTATTTATAATACAATTTATTTTTAGGAATTTTTTCAAGACCTTACACAGTGGCAGGAAAAGAAAAATGAAGTTATTGAGTCTGGTGAATATTTAGCTGCTACTTGCAGGCAAGATATCTCTAAAGATATAAAACAAAAAATTAGCAATATTCAAAACAGATGGGATAAGCTTTTTCCTCATGTGAGTATATTATTTCATTATATGTTAGTATTTCATTATACATTAGCCCATTATATCATAGATTTATTTACCAATTGTTAAACTTATTTAGAACTATCAAAAACAACATAATTGCTATTAAGAAATAAAATTAAAAAGGAAATTAATTAATCTCTTAAAATGATCTACAGGAGCCAAGCCTTCCTCTTCCAAAAAAAGCTATTAGTTTTAATTATTATTGAAACGACTTCTCTTCTTTCTAAATAACATACTTCTTTTTTAATGTATTATATGATTATGCATTCATGGAAAATTATGTATAATCTTTTAAATTATGAGTCTGATTGTTGCTTGGATAAAAGAAACAAAGAAGGAAAGAAAATTATTTTCATTTAAAATAGCTTTCATTAAAACAGAGTTGAGCAATTATTTGCCATTTTCTCAGTAATATTTAAGTTGCAATTTTTGATATTAATTGAGTTTAGAATTAATTATATGATGGTGATTAATTGATGCTTTTAGTTTAAATATCAAAACAAATAAATAGATTTACCCACTATGCCTACCATGAGTGTTCAGTAAAATTGAATAACAATCTTAATGCAGTCATAATGTGTGAACTAGTTTGCTTATTAATTCATTTTGATAGAATTAAAGCTTTTATTTTAATTCTGTCCTTCTTTTTATTGAATTATGTGTAATTTATAAAATTTTAAAAATTTATAAGTTTTACTCTTATAAGTAACAGATTTTAATGAAGGTTTGATTTTTCAAATATATGTGAAATAATATTATCATTAATGTTATTTTTGTTCATGTACAAGAAATTGTCTATATAATAAATAGAATTCATTATTTTTATTTATACAAGAAAATTATTATTATACAGCTCTTGAATCTGATAACCAGAATTTATATTATTTGTTTTTTAATAATGACAGATATTTTAATATTTATATAGCTAAATAATTTTAGAACTGCTGTCAAAAATTTAAAAATTTCCTGAAAATTCTATTCAGACTACATAATTATATTTCTAATCACTAACATTTGCTCTTATATCTCTTAGCATGATTGTTGTATAATTATTTTACTCAATGTTTATAAAGGTTCAAGAATTCCTTGTTTCTGGTGAAATCTTGCGATCAAGACATATGTTTCAAAAGAATATGAAACATCTCCAATCATGGTTGCAAGATGCAGAAGCAATTCTTTCTACACCAATTAAATGCAAACCTTTAGAAACAGAAAATTATACTGAAAAATTAAAGGTATTGAAATTGTATTTTAAAAATAAATTTATGGTATTTTAAAAGTTATATAAATAAATTTATGTAATAAAATATGTTGCATTTTATTGTTTATAAGATGTTAATGCAATATATCTAATATTTTGTTGTTCTGTAAAATGATATGTAAATGAAGTTTATATCATATCTTCTCATTGTAGTTACTACTCTTAACCATTTTAGGAGCTTCAAACAGAATGGGAAGAGTATGATAATATGTTTAAAAAATTATCAAAGCAAATGCATAGTGTTGTTACTCACATGTCTGCTCCTGAAGTTGAGAAAGTTATGTCATCAATGAAAAAAGTGAGAAGGCTTTACTTTTTATGAAACCGTGCATTATTAATCTAATTAATATGTATACTTTATTACTTCTAAATCATTCATATATTTTTTTTAAGTATCTCTGCACTCGAAGAATACACAGAGTAGGTGTATATATTATTCTGTGTATTTTAGTGATGAATAGTAATTGAGCTAAAGAATACATACATTTGTATTATACCTCAAATTATGTAGCAATTCAATTAGCTTTTGAAATTATACTAAATTTTAAAACACTTTAATTAAGTGCTTCTTTTGTACAACACCATTATTCCAATCTATTTTCAAACTCTTATGGAGTGTTCCATATAATTTAGTTGTAAAAATATGGTTTTTTACCCAATTCTGTATAGAGAAATCTGGAAGTGTTGCAGCAGGAGATCAACCTAACTGAGAAATCAGTCCACATAATGCCCATGAATTTCTTTAAGCTGGAAATTAGTAATGGATCATGAATAAGCATCAAATTATGGAGCAATGTTGGATTTAAACAATGGATTTCATCGACAAGTCGTTAAAACAATAACACCTGAAATATTGGGGAGTGTATCACAAGAAACTAAATGTTGATTGGAATATTGCATGCAGTACTAAAAGAGCTCATATTGAATTGCTTAAAAATTTAATGCTTATGGAAAAAGTATGTTTGAGTTCTGTATAATTTGATATAATATAAATGCCCATGTTTTTTTAAAATCATTCAGTATTTATCACTGTAATGGACACAGTAATTTATAATTGCCCTTTATAATGAGCATTCTTTGCACATTCTTTTTTCTTCTTCCTGAGTTATTAAAATACACAGATTTTGGTGTAAATAGAATTTTTATACAAATACTTTTACTTGTCCTATAGTACTTTTGCAATGTTTTATTTTTTCATGTCTGATAGCAAAAACCAATAACTATTAAAGTAGAAAATTTAAAAAAAAAAAAAAAAAAAAAAAAAAAAAAAAAAAAAACAGAAAAACTCTATTTAATAGTAAAGCAAAATAAATTCCATGGAAACCAGAATTATTTTGCTTAATTTATTAATGGCTAAAGATAAATCTGGTAAATTCAAATGGATGTTCTGTTTTGTCTTATTGAAATGAGGATGAATTTACAATAATGATAAATCCTCATTTTGTTATATTTCCAAATAAAAAGTCATTTTCCCTCACTTTTCTAATAATATTAAGTATTAGTTAAGTATTATACCAAATTCAGTGGCTTTATGTGTTACATATTTGTGATGCATTATATAAATTTTTTTGAATTTTAAATTGTTGGCTAATAAATGCATCATTTTTCTTTTGAGTTCAGCCATATTGTCTTTCATAATAGACTCACCACCTTGGGACAGTTTAATTCATGTTTATGAATTTTTAGAAATTCAGTACTTTATATTTGCTTGTATGTTTTATAAAACTTGATCATTTCAGAAATTTTAATTTGAAATTTATCTAGCTATGCAATCAGAAAAATGGTAGATTTTAATATGCTTTGGATACTATTTGGTAATGATAAATAGTGTATCAAAATCATACTTTCTTTTTACTATATCTTTTTCCTTTTTTGGGGGGGGATTAAATTTTTGTCAGTTATGGTATCTTTTTCTTTCTTTCCATGAAGTATAAAATTTAAGTAATTATTATAATTATTCCCTTACTTATACACACACGCAAAGTATATTTTGAAGAATAAAAAGAATGGAAATTTGCTCTCAAATGACTTTTAATTACATATTTCAGTTTTTTTATATGTTCATCTTTATTTCTATATTTATTTTACAGGTACTTTAAAAAATTTTTATATTATTTTTTAATTGTTTTAGGAGAAAGAATTACTTTTAAGAGTAAAGACCAGTTTAATGACTCGCCTACAAATTTTGTACCAATTAGGAGCACCACTGGATGCTTTTGAGAAAGGATTGTCTGACATCTCAAAATGGTTAGATGAAGCTGAAAAAATAATTGCTTCTTATGGTATACCTAGTAGTTTGCAAGAGATTAATTGTTTGCAAGAGAAACACAAGGTACATTGATGTCTGTTATTTTGTCTTTTGTTAAACAGTTATTTGAAAACTGCTGATAGAAGTTTTTTTTCTGTTATTGATGAAGTTTTAAAAAAAATTAACATAAGTAACATTTTCCAAGTTAAAAACAATTATGAAAACTTTGTTATCACATTTAGCCCTTCTATTGGTTACAAAATGCCCTCATTTACAATACATTCAGTTTTCAAGTCATTCTCTTCCTTTATAATAAAATATTTTGTTCAGTTCGTAAAAGTCCCCTGTCATGTGTTAATATTTAGAGATTTTCAATATTTTTTTCCAATGTAATTTAAAATACATCAGTGAAAATAAAGGAGCTTTACAATTTCACATCAAGAAATGCATATCCTAAAAAATGAATTCATAAACCTTCCATTAGTAGCCATTATAATTCCCAGTTTTAAATCATATAAATATATATCATAATATAATATGTATCATAGTATAATATATATTATAATAAGTTCTCTGTTTAATCTGTGTCTCATAAAGTGTTCCTTTAACTTTAGTTCTGCCAAAGTTATCTGAAAATCTACCTCAGTTACCAAGTTAAATATCCCTAAAGCTCCTTCATCAGAATCTAGCAATTTTAAGAATGATCTCAATTCCAATCTTTATTTTGTTTAATAGATAGCACTATGACATTTCCTTTCTTCTTATTTGTTTATTTTCTTTATATAACCTGCATAGTTCTGTCAAAATGACATGTTTAAGAAGAAAAACATTTATCACTTTCTTTCAAATGCATAAGAATTTTGTCTGATTTTAGTAGTAATATGTTTTTAATTTAATTTAATAAAAATTAACTCTATAAATGCATATTTGTTGTAAATTGTTTTGATATTTTGTAGCATAATTTAAGTATGAAAAAAATGTTTGTTATGACTTAAGATTCTTAGTGACACTTGAATTTAAATTCCTAAGTGTATATTAATGTAGTGAGATAAGTATAATAATAAATGTAAATTGAGTTATAGTCTATATGCTATTTAATTATATTTTATAGCTATAGCAAGTAAACAAAAATCCCTTTTGGTTCCTACTATACATTTCTTCTGTGCTTTCATTCTGAAAAAATAATTTGTGTGTAAATGTAAATGCTTACATTCAAATTACTTATGAATGCTATTTTTAATGATTATGAATTTCACATGGTAAAATTAAGTATCAAAAAGGTTACATTTTCTTATTAATGTATTTAAAATGTTAACATTTCATAGTTAACATATATATAGCATATATGTAGTATTAGTGATATATATATATGTCTATCAGCGATGTACAGGTTTAATTTATATATATATATTTGATTCAGTTAAAAATTTATATGATTTAATAATAATATTTTGACTTTATGCTTTTCTTTATAGACATTTTTCTCACAGTCACCTCAATATCGAACTGAACTAGAAAATCAGAAGGTAATTTGTAATAATATAATAGAAAATGCTCGTGGAATTCCTAATCTGGATGTGAGTGAAGTACAGCTCAGTATGGCAAACACAGAAGCTCGTTTGGAGGTATTTATTAGAATATGTTTGATGTATATGGTCTTTGAATTTATTAGTGTATATGTTTTTTTAATCTTTTAAGAAGCCCTATAGAATATAAGGATGAAGAGCAAATATTATCATCTGTATGTTGTTTTGTAAATGTGAATAATAATGATCAATTTTTCATTGGAATCATGCCAATGTAAAATTTAAAATTAATCAAAAAACAACCTTAATTTGGCATAGATTTTGAATAAACATCTATTGATTTCAACAGTGATTAAATATAGATTCTTTGTCTTGAAAAAAGAAAAATCTGTTTCAAACAAAAATCGCTTTTTTTTTCTTGTTTTTAATTTTGCGTAATTTGTTTCTGCAATAGAAATTTGTGTTAAAAATCTTTATTTTTGTTGTTTCATAACGCTTTTGCTTCCAGCTTTCATATTGGTTACGCTTCATTTTTCCTATGTGAGTCACCGTATCTAATGTGATACAGAAGAGAAATATTGCTGATGACCCACCGTACCATATTTGATACACTGAAATGGAATGTTTGTTTCAAATATTTCAATAACAAGCAGATTTTATAAGAGTTATTTTTACATATTAGCCATAACATATGCTCAGGCACACAGTGATGTTTAGAGCTCCAAGGTCACAAGCGACCAGGGAAGGGGGCATTCATTCTCCTGACATTGGGAGTGATGAGGTTAAAGAACAATAAAATAGGTTCTCTTAAAGTATGCATATGAAAGGTTTTACTATATTGTGTTTAGGTTATAGTAGACTTTATATTCTGAATTTAAAAATATTTAATTTTTAAATGATTAAAAAATTTGAAGAAACCTCACTGTTTAAAACTACATAAAAACATCAGACTTGCTCATATTCTTTTGAAGAATGTACTTGCAGTCTGGAAAAATGAAATGGGTTCGTATGGCTGAAATTTATTTTTTATAAACTTGATTTGAAGAAAGAGTATTATCATAAAAGTAATAAATTCCTCGAAATGAATTTACCATTTTAATTATGTATTTTTATATTTGTTAAGTTTATTTTTTGTTATAAGTTAGAAACTGAGGGGTTTTTTTTTAACTTGAATTTTCTTATCAAATCGTGGGTCGGAGACATTTATTAAAATTCAAGAGACAGTTTTTTGTATATTATTTTGAGAAACAGAGGGAGAAAGATATCTGAGTTATATTTTTCAACTAAGATTTGATGTGCAATTCTGAAAGGGAGCTTAATTTTATTACTGAATAATAAATGTATGTAAAATACTGTAAATTCAGTATTTTATTACTGAATAAAAAATATAGCTGCTGAAATTTTTTATTTTGCATAGTGGATTTATTTTTTAATGCTTCATTTTGAATTTCATCACAATTTCTGTATAATTTAAAACTAAATGCTGATTTTTTCTCTCTAAAAATGGTTGTTCCTATAACAAAATTTAATTTTCTCTGTGATATTACTTCATTTTGATATGGCATTAGTTTCATTTTGCTTGAGAGAAAAAATGTTTTTAAATATATTTAGTTTATTTATAATTAACTTATTTCATCTATAGAGCTGTTTATCCTTGGCTACTCAGTGGAAAAATGCAATGGCTGAAGCAGCTGATAGATGGCAACAATATTTTGCCAGTATTCAGACTGTGAAAGAAAAGCTCCAATCAGCTGAAACTTTGTTTAATAAAAAACCTTGTGATGAAAAACAACTCCAAATACATAAAGTATGTCTTTTATTTGTAAAGTTTATTTTTGTTCTCAGGAACTAGAATCCTGATAATATATGACCGGTTAATCCATGAATGCCTATAATGCTCAAGTTTATTTTTAAAAATCCATATTTGTTTTTAGATGTAAACAAATTTAAAATTTTTAGAAAATCCAATATGGTAAATTTGTTGACAATTTATAATTATATAAAAATGCAACTACAAAAATGGCTTCTTTATGTTGATGATAAAAATTATCGATTTTTTTTTCAAAAAACACTTGTAAGTGATTTATGGCATTAAAGCAAATAAATAAATAAATAAACATAGTAAGAAGTGGTTAAAAACAAATTTTCTTTTAACAAATCCAAACTTTCAATTTTGGAATTTTTAGTAAGCTTCAAGTAGTATTAATCCATTTACATGTACATGGAATGTAATGGCAAAATTGGCATGTATTAAATTTAAGAGAATTTGTACTGCTGGATTTTTTGTAATCAGTGTATTTATTTATTTATTTATATGTGTCATTTATGAGCAGAAAATTTACTTCATGAGTAATTTTACTAAGAAATTACAACTTTTTCATATATAAAATGCTTCAATATTTTTCACAAAACAGTTCTTTACTGCTATAAAAATATTCCCTATCATCTCTTTTTCTCCCCATTACATTTCCCGCTTGAACTAATATTATATATTTTCTTTATATGTAGAAATTTATATTTAGAAAATATAATTACATTCAATAAATCATTATAAACAATACTTATAATCATTTTAGTTTAATTTTAATATAATTTTTTTAAATTTTAATCTTTAGAATTCTCCTTTATAATTCTAATTTTGTTTTCAATAAATCTTGATTTCATTAAGTATAAATATATTTTGTTTATTATACTTACTTATGTGCAACAATCCAAATTTTATTGGGAAGGGGAAAATGTAAACAAAACTCTAAAATTCAGGACTTAACAATTCATAATTCTCTGGACCCTTGATTCAGGATGTAGATATTATCAAAATTCTGCTATATTTTTTTTGTGTGACTGAAATAAACTAATTCTTAACTTTTTTGAAAGTTTGAATGATGAATGTGAAACTTCTAACCGCATTAAAAAATTCATAACAACAGGAATTTTAATATTCTAGTAATTATAACCAATGAGCCAAAAAGCTGCTTTGCTGTGGCCTATAGGATTTTAGCTTTTAGTTTTTATATACTCATTCATAAATGTTCATAAATCTAGTACCATAAATCTCAATTATAATAAAACATAAATCCCAAATATGGATTCAAACATTTTTATGATTGTATAAATTAAATATAACCTGTCCCAAAATTTAATGAAAAATCTGCTAATAATTTGTTAACTTAATGGTAAATATGTATAAATTTAATGCATATTTAGGATTTAGTGAAAAAATTTTCAAGGCTATTTTTTTACAATGTATTTCAGTTTCTTCCTTTCCATTCATAACAGTACGCTCAAGGAGAAATATTTCCTAAAATTTATTCACATTCAAGTGATTTGTGAATGAATATTTCAGGCTTAGTCTTTGGAAATGCATCAAGATTACTTTTTAGAAAATATTGTAAAATAAACTGAAGAAGTAATGGAATTTTGGAAGAAATTTTAGATTTAGGAATTAAAATTCTTAAACAATAGTTACTGGAGCAAGACCTTTATGTTAAGGCAAAGGTGTATAATCTTCAAATGTGTAAAGAAATATGTAATTTTTAAAAATGTTTATTATCCCAGAGAATCATAAAAAAGATGTTCGATAAAACTTATAAATATATATTTAATTTCAGTTGTTTTATTTCAGGACTTTTTTAGTAATTTAAGTGATTCAGCCATAAGAGATATGCTGGCATCAAGTGATGCTGTTTTGGCAACTCTCCCTGCTACTGAACAAGGACCTGTAAAAGAAACTGTTAAAGTTTTACAGGAAAAGTGGAAGGTAAGAGTAGTGAGAAATAAGTGGCTATCTAACCTACCACTTTATTAAAAACATTTCTTGTTTTTGAAATTTAATTTTTCAGTGCTAACATAAATAGTTTGAATTAAATTTTATAATTTGGACAATTATTTAATATAAAGCATTATTTACATTTTGCATTTTAAGTGTGCTTTTTATTTTTGTGTTGAATTTATAGTACTTGAGCTTTTGAAAATTGCTAATTAGTTTCTCTTAAATATTATTTCATTTCTTTGTGTGTATGTATAAATATATGTAAGATATAAAATATTAAAAAAACTTTCTAAGTTTAATTTGGCAATAGTCTCTTTTAATTCTTAATTTTAATTTGGCTATTTCCTTTTCTTGTCTTAAAACTACTAATTGTTTTTAAAATATGATATTTTTAATATATAAAAACTCTAATGTTTTTAATATATGAATCTAAAACGCATCATCATTTACAGCCTTATGCCAATGCCAATGATTATAAGTTACAGAGTGCCTATGGTTCAAAACCATGTACCTCCATATCAGAAAAATATCTAAGTAGTGAGCAGAAATAAGAAAATTGCATAATTGGTTATCATGATGCACACTAGAGGGAGCTACATTAGCTCGAGAAAGTTTAGAGATAGGAAAAATCAGTTTACAGCCTCAATACTTTGATACTTTGATACTTTTGATATGCCTGTTTCAGCAGGAATTATATCCCGCTATTACAGGCACCTCAAATAACCCTGGTTAGGGGAGACATAGCATACAGTGCTTCGCAGGAATACCTTAATAAGGGACTGCAGGAAGATTGTGTAGATGTGGCCCAGGCCAGTGTAAATGAAAAAGTCAAACTTAGAAACTTCAAAAATTGGCTGGCAGAAGTTAGGAGTATTTATGGGGGATTCCGATAAATGTGGGTTGCATAGGGCCTTAAATTGATGTCAATTTCTAGGAGCTTGTACTTAAAATTGTCAGAATAATTTACCTCCGTGTTGATGATATCTTTCTTGAAAAAATTATTATTTAATTTATTGATGAATAACGCCAGATTTTGGAGTTTAAGGTCTCTGTGTAGCTGTTCATTGTGAACGAACCAGGGTGCTCCTGTGATTTTTCGTAAGTAGTTGTTTTGGAAAACCTGCAATTTATTTAATACGGAAGGGGGAACAGAGCACCATGCAGGGGAGGCATATGTAAGGATGAGTCTTAATATTGATGAGTAAAATGTGCTTCTTGCAGAGCAAGATCCAGTGGTGAAGAGGCGTCAAGAAAGTTTTGAAGCTTCCTAGAGACACCTATGGCTTTCCCGATGGTCATGGAAATGTGAGGACCCCATGTAAGCGAGCCGTTAAAACAAACTCCCAAGTATGTAGCCTCTCTGACTTTGGGCACTGTTTCATTAAAGAGGGTCAGATCTGCATCAGTGTTTTTTCTTCTATGCCGTCCTACCAGTAATAATTTAGATTTTGTGGTATTAATGGACATCCTCCATTTGCAACATCATTCTTCTATCTCATGTGTGTGGTTTTGTATTCTGATGATGGCATGTCGTGGATTAAGTGAACTAGATAGAATGGCGGTGTCGTCCGCGTAGCAGGCGGTGATGCAGTTTGTATTTTCAATCATAGGGAAGTCCTTAACATATATAAGATAGAGGATAGGCCCAAGGATGCTTCCCTAAGGGACGCCGGCTTTAATTAATGTGTTTTCAGAATAAACATCGCCCTGCCTGACACAGAAGGATCGATCACTTAGAAAGGAGTGAAGAATCAAAATCATTTCCCTGGGGAGATCAAGGGAAGCAAGCTTGTAGATAAGTCCGTTATGCCAGACGCGGTCAAAGGCTTTTGCCACATCCAGCATAAGGAAAGCAGTTGTCTGGTGCTTATGAATAGCTGGACTTAAAAACTCAACGATTCTGACAAGCTGCATTGTGGTAGACAATCCTTTACGGAATCCAAACTGCTGGTTTGGAAGCGCGTTTAGGGCTGGCTGTAGTCTTTTGCAGATAATTCTCTCTATGATCTTTCCCAGTGCAGGAAGCAAGCTGATTGGGCGAAACCCATCCATTCTTGTATTATCTTTTCCGGGTTTGGGAATTAAGATGACAACCGCTTGTTTCCACTCAGCTGGGAAATAGCATAGGTACAGGCAGGTGTTGTAAATGCTACAGAGTTTGTTAATGAAATTACCAGGCAAATATTTAATCATTGTATTAGAGATTTTGTCCTTCCCATGTGCTTTTCTATTATGAAGTTTAGCTATAATAGAGCTAACTTCTGTGGGAGAGGTAAAAACATGGAGATTTTTGACACTGGGCTGGTTCATCCAATTATCAACAAACATGTTAATGTGACTAATGAAATTTCGGTTTGAAGGGGTCTCATTTGGAGTGAACTGCTTTTACAGCCTCAATCGGCATCACACCATCTTATATAATAAATGCATATATCTTTCTTCCAATCACATTAAAGAAAGTTTTGATTATACTTTATATCTATATGCTTTTCTGAATGTGTAAGCAGTTTTTAACTTTTCTTTACTCTGCTATCTCTACAGACTCTATACACACACACACACACACATCTGAGTATCTGAGTATCTGGTTAGTTATTTATTCTCTAACTGTCATTTAGTATTAATTGTCATTAATTTCAATTGAAAAGAACTTAATGTCTTTTAAGAAGCAAACAATGTTGTCTTTCTTCTTCAATAGCAATTTATCATACTCATACAAACTGATTCATTTCTCTTAAATAAATAATGACAAGATTTAGCAATGTTTGTAGATAAAAAGTAGGGAAAGAAATGAATGAAATGAAGTTAATAAAAGTGTTTGTTTAAGCACTGGAATCAATGGCATTAAATACCCATTTTATTTATTTTAGGCAACTGAATCAGAAATAGAGCTCACAGAAAATAGTTTTCTTAAAAAAAGATTACATTATTTATCTTCAAAATTCACTAGAACTAGTGGCAAAAAGGCTTAAGTATTGCTTAACAAACATTAATAATTTGCCTAATAAGTGAGTACTCTGTACCATGAGAACTTTAAGAAAAGTTTTACCATTCACTTTTCTGAGCAAATTTGCCTCTCTTGACCTTTGAGGGAGAGAATTGGTAGAACATGGATTAAGGCATTTAAGAATATGGTTCCAAATTTTGACAAGTGTTGTCAAATAATTTGACTTTAATATTTTTTATATCAAGAACAAGCTGATGTTTCATTATTTTACAGGCTATGATTCAGAAAATTCCTCATCATTTGCTACGTCAAGAATTCCAAATCAAAGAGCAGGATTTCAAAAATCAGTTACATGAAATGAAATCTCAGCTGAATAATGAGCAGCAAATGATTGACAGTGGAGAACCTGGAGAACATGTTTTGCGGAAACACAGTGTACGTTTGGAGCATATATAATCTTATTTATTATTGATATTTTTAATGAATATTTTTATACTGCTAGAAAAGTAACTTTAGGAAAGAATTTTTCGTTTAAATTCGGAAATAAATTGATGTTGGATGCTTTTTAAAGTATTTTTAGAAATACATAAAAAATTACTTATTACATTCTTCCTCTATATGTAATTAAATACTGTTATTATTTTGTTAGGAATTCTTTTCCACATATCGATTAGCATCTGTCAAAGACTGCCTTAGTAGCTTAAAAGTTCTGTCAGAAGAATATGTAGCCTGTCAAACTTCTGATAACACTTTGAGAGAAACTTACTTGAAGCGTGAGAAAGAATGGAATGAAATGAATCTGCAGATTCAAAATCTTGTTTCTCAACTCAAAAAACGTGAAGCTGACTGGACTGAATATTGTCAACGGTAAAGTATCTTATTTTATATTGCTTAATAAATATGTAAAGTGCATTTAATAAAAAATTAGCCAAAGGTTCTATAATTATAAAAATTTAATATTGCATAAAATATTTATGGTTATTATTTAGACATTTCCAGTGGGACACCAAATGTAAAATAATATTTTCATAAAAATTCTTAGGTTGTTCTTGGAATCATTGTTCTTGCAAAGCTTTTGTTAGCCTAAGACTGTTAGCTTACCTAAGACTGCAAAATCATAGGATGAAAGTTTGAATATTAAAGGAAGTGAGGACTTTTTAGTTTTATTTCCTGAGAAAAGTTTTTGATTGCATATACAATGTGAAGTAAAAAGTTATCGTGGAGGAGAAGAACACTACTGGAAAACTTTCCAGATTTTTTAAATTTGATCACTTGTCCAACAGTCTCTTCTTGCAGTCATTGCAGCTTCATGTTCTATGATGTTAACAAAGAATAGTCTTTCCCAATCATTGAAAAATGCATCATTTTCTTCATACCAGTATAACTAGCTTATATTTTTGGGAAAAGGGAACCTGAATGTTTTCATTGGAGAAACTAATACTTTGTCTCTATCTTAAATGACATCATGCCTCTTGGTTTTCAATCAAGTTGTGAAGCACTTATTGGGTACAAACTTTACAGAAATTCATTTAATTCGTAGCAATCATATGAACAATTCCAGTACTCAAGCAGACATTCTTAGTGATTTTTTTTATTATTATAACATAATGGTATTTCTAAACAAGTGCATTCATTTTTGTAATTGCAGCATCTATAGCAAAATTTGATGCCAGTCTTTTGACCTATGGCAAACCAGTGATGGTTTGTTCATCCATCGCTGATTGTTTGCAGCTAGTAATCAGCCATCTGTAAAATACTTGCATCACTTCGGAGTAACGTGCAGTGTTCTCCATATACACTTGCCATATAAATATTAAATATGTTAAAATATTGCTATTTCTTGAGTTTAACAGTCAGTTTAATTTATGTTTTCATGCCATGAAAAAAAGTCAAACTATAAGTTATCATCCACTTTGATTAGCCTGAATCTCAAATACCACTAGTATAATAAAGTCATCCAAAGGCATAGCAGTCATTTTGCATAACACACATTTTCCCATAAATTTGTGCAATTTAGTATTTATATTTCAGTTACAGTACAAAGTCCAAGATCCAGACGTCCAATATCTGGAATGATCTTATATCCAAACCTTAAAGCCACCAACAACTTTTTTTGGGGGGGGGAGTAGGCTTTACACATACGCATTTAATTTCTCCCCTCTCATAATAAAACATGTGGAGGGTCCCGATTCTTAATTTCATTTTGGCAGTAAATAAAGTACCTAGTAGTAAACAGTAGGTTGATTTTACCCTTGCTAATAATCCCTGATGCCAAACTGACAAATTATTATTTATTATATTTTACTTTCATCACCGTATGTATATCAACATATAATAACTTGAGTAATGACTCATGTAGCAATGCCTAAACATTTTTTAATTATTAATTGAATGACAAAGAGTGTGGTAACCTTTTATGTTGACATTATGGTTGGCAGTGATTACAGATTTAAGTTAAATGCGCTAAGAAGTGTTGACTAAGAAAAGCTTAAAAAAATTTCTTTCCATTTGCTAAAAAAGGATTTTATTAATTATACTAATAGGCCAAAAGATTACATTTAGTGCTATTTGAATTAAGAATAACTAATTTGTTATTAAAATTAAACTTGAAACCGGCAACAAAGCTCATATGGCCGCACGGGGTGGCAGAATTTAATGAAGACAAAAATTTTGGAATTTAAAGAAGAACCGAGCAACAAAATTAAGAGATGACAAAATTTTTAGAATTAAGGGAAAGCAATGGGACCCAAAGTTTATGAGCGGAAAAAATTTATAGCTTAGGGAGGTACTTTGGTAGCAAAATTTAGGATCCGCAGAGACTGCATGAGGTGGTAAGATATCCAACACCTGCCCTTGATAAGCCTTAAATATATGTGGGGAATTTATTCAGTCAAGATTCTGATAAGCCTATTAAGCATGTGCAAAAGTTTGTACATTCAATTATGTTGAAAAGAATTTCTAATTTTGCAGCTACAATGTGAAAGCATGTTTCGATATCCATTAGAAAGTGGAATTGTTGCAAATAAATGGATAAAATTATACCCGTCTTCAAAATTATGCTAGGAGTATGATGATTTAAGAAAAAAGAGAAAGGAATTTTTTGAGAATTCTGATACCCCACTCACATTGTGTAACAGACAAATTATTCGTTATGCTAAAAGTGATGATCATGAGAAAGTGATGATTGAATAAGTCAGGTAGCGTTGGTGTGCCATTGATGGGTCTAATTCTAATGGCTCAAGCCAAAATATTTCATGAAGAAATTAACTTAAAAACTTAGTGCACATATTTGACAGGTTGGTTAACCAAATTTAAAAATCGCCATTGTTAATTAAAAATTTCAGGTGAAAAGCTTCAGCTGATACTGAAGCTGCTGCTGTATTTGCAGATGAATTCGTTTGAATTCTTCAATAGTATAGTTATATCCAGAACAAATTTACAACACAGATGAAACTGGTCTTTTCTGCCAATATGTACTGTGAATACGTTGGCAACCTCTACAAAAAAGGCTCCAACCTAGTGTCAAAGATTTCAAAGTGAGACTAAGAATTTTACCATGCGCAAATACTACAGAAACGCACAAGTATAAACTTTTCGTAATTGGAACAAATACACGACCTCGAGCAGTTAAAGGAGTTAAGAGATTTTCCCCGTTATATATATAATGCAAATAAAAGAACATGGATCACACAAGCGTTAATGATTGATTGGTTTGAAAATCATTTCATATCTAAGGCTCGCAACATTTGAATTGGTTGGTTTACCTGATGACACAAAAATTGCCCTGATTATAAACAATTGTTTGGCTCATACATCATTTGAAGTTTTAATGAAAGATAATATATCCATATTATTCTTTCCTCCAAATTATACGTCCATCATTCAGCCTATGAATATCAGAATAGTGCGCATGCTGAAATGCAAATATTATATAATATAAGTAGCATTTTTTAAATCCATGTAAATTTCTTGAACAATGGCAATATTATTGAAGTCTCTTTGAAATATTTTAGCATAAAATTTGCTGTGTGAAGCATCGCAAAATCATGGGAGGATGGATCTTCAGATACTTTAAAATATGCTTGGTATAATTTATGACCAAATTCCATATTTCATGGTGAGGATGATGAACATTACAGCAGGGAATTTGTAGGTTTTCGGATATCACAAAATGAAGGTGAAATTTTACAATTAATGGATTTTTTAAAGAAACACAGAGAAGCAGTAAGAAATGAAGATGATATATCAGAAGTTTTTCATTGCGATGGCAATGCCCCAACATCAATCAATTAACGAACGGCGAAATTCTTTTGTATGATTCTAGATCGAGAAAATACAGTTACCAATAGTGAAGAAAGTGATATAGAGGTATGGAAAGTGAAAAAATTTCAATTGATAAATTAGTCAGAATTCTTGACACAGCAATTACAGGACTTAACATTGTAGCTGAACAAGAAATTATATCGGTCAACAGAATTAAAGAGAAAGTGTTAGCACGAAAAAAAAAAAAAGCAACTTAAACAACTTACATTGAAAAACATGTTTAATAAAATAAACAAACAAATATTAATCCTATTTTTATTTGTAAATTTTGATACCCATTAGATAATAAATGCTTCATTATTTCATAAATCACGATTTCATATTTTTAATTTTATAATTTCTACATGCCATCTTACTAAATTTAAACAAATAATCTAATATCCGAAAAAATCCCGAATCTCCCGACGAGTCGGTGTCTCAGACTTTATACTGTATTTATGTTTATTAAATCACTAAAGTGTTTGATACTTTTCTGTTATTGGATTCAGAAATGTATGTATGTATGCTTCTATACATGTGTGTATGTACATAGAAATGCATGTGTGTATGTATGCATACGCATATACACACATACATACATACATATATGCTTTTCTGCATCCATCCCGATAACAGAAAAGTACAAAGTTTTTTATGGTGCAAGAATATCATGTGGAAGAAACTTTAAGATAGAGAGCTGTTGGTTATTCAGAACCAGAGCAGACATTTTTGGAAATAACAGTGTAAACTTGTTGCAAAACAGAAAATGTTGCAAAACAGAAAATTTATGCCATCTGGGAACAAATTTAAAGACTAAATTTAAAGACAAAGAAATGGTTGCTAGAAGCCTAGTATAAAAACTGGAAAAGAAAATAATTTGTATATTGTTTCATTTTTCTCTCTATAACTGCTCAGTTCTACAGAAACATTTTGCTATGCAACTGTATTTAGAGCTTGCTGCTACCGACAGAATTTTCTATCATGACAAACTATATATGGAAAACTTAATGAAAAGTCTTTATGAAAAGCCAGTGGTTTATATTTCACTGCTTTTGCAACAAAAACAGAGAGCTTTATCTTAATTAGTGTAGATAACATCACAGTTAGAATCTACAATAATGGGCAAATGTTCTCTTCAGTGACAAGTAGAGGTTTAGTTTAACATCTGGCTCTAAATGCTTTCCAGCTTTCCATTTGGAAGGAGTCATTAGGATTAAAGGATATATAATTAAGAAATTATAGCCATGCAAATATAATGGTATGAGAATGAATGATAGTTATCAATGAATATACTTTTTCTCTTTACATGTATTCAACAGAGCTTTTGTGTCTGCTCATGTCAAAATTTTTGTATATGCAGATGTCAAATTGAAGTATGACAGCTCTATATGAGGCCTTCATAGAAGCTCTATTCGGTCTGATATTCTTTTTAAGGATTATGGTTCACATCTGCATGAAATAAAACTGGTTGATAAATTTCTGGAATTTGAAAGCACTGAATGAAAAAAAAAATTCTTTTGAAAAATCTTCTAATTTGAAATCCATAAAGGACTTGCAAAATTTAAAAAAAAAAAAAAAAAAAAAAAAAAAAAAAAAACGGCTACGTTGAAAAATTCTCTTTCTAATGATCTCAGTGCCTTGAAGACCATGCACATGAAAAAGTGGAATTTATTTCCTCAAATTTAACCATCTTATTGGGTGTATGAGTTATGGGGGATAACAATGCCAGACGTAGTATATCAAAAGCCTGTATTTGTTTCCAGGATAGTACCTTTATTCTGAAAATTTGTTGTCACATATTATTTCATGTTTCACAACATGATTTTTTAGTGGATGCTTTTCATTTTCCATTTTTCAGTTTGTGTTTGTGGGTTATGATACTATTTATAACCATAAATAAATTCATTCATATTATTATACTATAATCAATGCTGTTTTATACTAATGACCTTAAAACCATTATTAAAACTGGAAGTGTTAAAATTTTAGTTCTGCTTTATTTTTTTGCTGTTAAGTTTATTTAGAGTTTCCTGAATTTCCTCCCTTTAGATTTAATGAACTTCTACAATGGATGGATGAAATTGAGAAAAGCATTAAAAATGTTACACATGAAATTTCTTCTTCAACTGAATTTGAAACTGTTAAAACTAAATTCCTGGTAAGCTGTGCATTTCTTTTATGCTGGCAAAAATATAATGATATTTGCTAAACTATATTATTGGAGCATAAAAATATCAATTTTATTGAGTTATTATATAATACTATAAAAGTATGATTTTGCTATTATTTCTATGACAGGTAAATATATATTTTTATAAATCATACTTTTTTTTCTCAAGAGACTTACTACTGAAATACAAAATTTTATTTATTTCGTATTAACATGGATATTATAATTATCAATATTCTTGATGCTGAATCTGTATTTTTGGAGCAATGTTTAAAATTTTTATGAATTTGCTGGGTACATTTTTTTGGTGTAAATAAATTTATTCCTAGATTGTTGTCAGTTTCAAATTTAAAAAAATTGTAATATACTGAGTGATAAATATTATAGCTTTTTTATCATCAATATTTTGTATAGTACCTTGCATGTGCAATGTTTTAGTTACTTTAAAACGACATATTGTGCCACCTCTTGAAAAGATATATAAAGTGTGGCGAAGAACAATTAGGGTTTATGAGATTGTGACTGTATTCATTTAGTAAAATAAGTAGAACTATAAAAAAAAAAAAAAAAAAAAAAAAAAAAACAAAAAAAAATTATGAATTTAAGAAATTTTGTTATTCTATTAATAAACGAAAAGTAGCAAGTATTTTTTAAATGATAATGTTTAGTTACAGGAGAACTAGTGCACTAAATAACTTTACAGAGACTATGAGGTTTTTTAATGTAAGAAACATGAAGGGGGAAGCACTGTGCCTTCACTGTAATTTGAAACATAGATCTTCCAAATGCTGGCTGAATGTGCTCATGACTTACAAGAGCAAGTACATGGGAATTCACTAATTCCCGATAACTTCACCCTAATATTAATGTCAGTTTAGAGATTCTTCTGGAAATATGTTATAAATGGTTAGTTTGGACAAAATTACTAACAAATATCCATATTATACTTAACCATAGGGAGAAACTAAATAAATTAGGTAGCAAACCAAATATATGAATATATTGAATGAAATGCTTGGCTACTGACAACTCCCAAATTGTTTCAATTTTTTTAAACAGTTAATTCTAAATGTCAGTCATTCTAAATCAATTTAAACTGCAATACTACTGCAAGTCTTAAAGGAAACTTGCAGAACTTTCTACATCTGCTACTGCTGAATTACTGTAGTTATATACTGCCGGGATTTTTATATTTTTTTCTGAAAAAAAAATTTTTCCTCCTTATTTATTCGGACACTTCAAAGTAAGTTTTTCATTAACTGATTTGTCATGTTCAGGCTAAATTTTTTTTCCCCAATACCCCTCCTTTTTTTTCTAAAACTTCTAAAAATTAAGACTAATAATCTTTTCTAATTCATTTTGTATTATGAGATGTCTCCAAAATTCAAATTTAGACTTGCATTGCTTCTAGTTTTTATTTAATTAACATGTCTGATTTCTGTTTTACTTTATAAAATGACTTTAAATACATGCTCTGTGGTATCTAATATAAATTTTAAAGTGCTATATATATTAAACTTATAGTATATCTGTTTCTTGTAAGTATTGAAAAAAATCTAATAAAATATTCCTATCAAAATTTGAAGAAAGAAATGTATCTATTAATTGTTTTTGGGAAAACTCATATTTTTTTAAGTAATGATAATCTATAATGATAAACGTTCAACAACTGATGCAAATGGACCAAAATAAACATTCTATATTATAGAATCAATATAGATTCTATATAAACATTCTATATTATAGAATATTTATATAGAATCTATATTGATCATTTTTCCAAGAATGTGACCTTTATTTTCGAAAATACTAGTACTAAACATCAACACTCTGATGTGAAAATTTCTACACAACAAAATGTTTTGGATCCAGAGGTGGTTGTTTTAGTGAGGATTCATTATATTAGCTATGTAGCTTATAATGTATGGAGCTTAATATTATAATTATGGAATTTTTATCTCTGTCTATTCAATATCTCTTCTAATTTTTTCAAGTCTAAAATTTGGTATTGCTAGTAACTTTTTATAAAATATCATATTTTAAGAAAATAAATTATGAAAAAAATTGGTATAAATTTTAAAAAATATAAAATTTTATAATTTTTGACCATATTAGAAAAAACTTTCTCCATATATCTTGAATTTTTCAAAAACGGATTGCTTTTTTAATCTTATTTTTTATTCTGTTATGTATTAATATCTATCTAAATTTACGTATGCTGTGCAATTCCTTTTTATCAATAGGGAAATTTTGAATTTATATTAATTGGAAAAATGATATTTGAAGCATGAAATGTAGTATTATAAAATGTATTGCGAAGAAAGAAAGATGAGTCAGTTATTCCAAAACTTCTGCTTATGTATAATTTTTGTTTCAAAGTGGTTCTTTTTATCAAAAATTAATATTTTTAATTATATGCTGTTAAAGTGTAATAAACTTCTGTAATTCACGGCATAGTAATGTACTTTTTTTTCATTAAGGATCTGAGCAAAAATGTTGATAGCAGACGAGAAGATGTCAAGTGGCTTGTTCGTAAACTAGATAGCTTATTATCCCACATTTCTAAGGAAGATGGTGTGGCTGAGCAAAAGAAACTAGATTCCCTTCTGTCACGTTATAAATTTCTTTTGCCTGAAATTGAAACTACTATAGTGGTAACAGAAACTATTACCAAATGTTTTATTTATCGAGAAGAAGTCATAGAAGTCAATCGCTGGCTTAAGGAAGTCCAGGCTCTTACAGATGCTGTAGAGGAGATCACCTGTGATGATCCTCAAAAGCTTGCTAAATTAATTCAACAGCAAGAGGTATTGTAATTGTTTTTAAATAATAAACATCAGGTACAAAATTTGGCTACATCAAGTTTAATTTTGAATTAATATTTTAACAAGTTTAATGTAGCACTTTTATTATATAACTGTTTCTTAAAATAAAAAAAGTATGTTTAATTTTAAATAGCTAACATTAAATTATAATAATTTTGTTGAATGAAGAGAAAATTTTAATGATTTATTACATATAACAGTAATTAAAAGTATAATATTTAGTTTGCTTTTGAACTGAATAGGTAAGATATGAAAAAAAACTTTTATTTTTTATGAAAGCAAGAATACTGTTTTGGTGTTTAATTCTATGATACTGAAGATACACGGATAATGTAATGAACTTTTAAGGAAAAGTGTATAATGCATAAAACTGTTGACATTTTTCATTTACAATGATGGTTCTAGGTTGACTAGTTACTTTTCTGTGTAAAAATTTGTTGTGTTAATACAGTAAAAATGAAATGTGGTAAGGAAGTTATGCCATCTAAGGTGGATCTAAGGTAGACAGTATGTTTGTAATATGTGCAGTAATTTCATGAGTAATGGCTGTAAGCATGGTCTTGATAGCTATAGAAAAAAAGTTAGTGTTAAATTTCTTCTGAACAGAAGTGTTAAACCAGATAAGAAGTTGTGCAGGTTGCTAGCACTGCAGGAAGAACAGATTATTTCAAGAGCAAAACTATGCAGATACTATAAATAAGTTATTGAAGGATTTAAGATGGTGGCTAGCGATTCATATGATTATATTCATCTGACTGCAATCATGTCAACAAAACAAGTTGCGTGGAAAAATTCTGAAAAACTGTCAAACAATACTTTGTTATTGTGGCCAAAGTGAATAGTATCAGAATTGGCTGTGTTGAAATATTTATTAAAAAACAGTTTCATAAAATGTGTGCCAAGGGAGTTCACTGACAGTTGACATTTGATCACAAGGTGATTGACATGATTGTATGTGAGCCATTCATTCCTCATGCAATTTAATGTAACAAGATGATGGAATTTTGCAATCATTATGAGTAAGTGAAAATGTTTGCACCATTTTATCCTCAAACCCACGAGCAGAAATATTGAATGGTGGTAATCATGAAATTGTCACTGCTGCCAAAGGAAAATAGCACCATTGACCAATGGCATTATGTGTTATTTCTTGGTCATCTTGTCATGAAAACTGTTTTCTTGGATATAAAAAATCTTACTTTTCCATAAGAATGTGATTAAAAGTGCTGTATAAAATGCCACTCAAAAGAAAATTCCTGGAATGTTGTTTAGAAGTATCATCTTTCTTCGTAACAGTACCTACTTCCTTGCTGCTAATTTGATAGTCACTGTTTAGACTGAAATGTGCTGAGAAGTTTTAAAACACAGAGTGCTGCAGGAAGAAGTTCCCAATTTAGCACCTAGAGGAAAAAAATTCAGTACTGCTGGATTTCCAAATCATGTACACCAATGCTATGATAGCAAACCAATTATTTTTATAACAAAGAAGTCATGCAGTTGCCGTGGTGGTTAGCAGTGGTCTATAGATTCGTAAAATTTTATATGTAAATTATTATTATTTATATCATAAATATTTTATTTTATAAATTATCATTGTTTTGGTGTTTTCATTTCATGTGTTAAAAAAGTTTATTCATTTATTACCCTGTATTTTAATTTAATCTCATTTTATCCTTTATCTTTGAATTTTCAATTCATTAACCATTAGATTTGAATTTAGAAATCAATGCAATATTTTAAATAAAAGAAAAATTATTAAGAAATTTTTATTGTCTTCTAGTTAGTGTCTTGAAGAATTTTAGTTAACTTGGTTAATATTTACATTTTCCTTAGGCTGTTGTTAAACAACTTGGAACGCATTTAGAAAATGTCAAATCCAGTGTTCAAAAAGGAAAAGATTTAGGCAAACAAAAATTGTCACCCAGGTTTATAGAAGAAGAAGTGCCATCAGAACGAACGGAGAGTTAATGAAAAGCTGTTAAAACTAATGTTTTAAAGGTAATTTTTTTCTACATGACTTACCTTTTTTTAATATTTCCATATATATATATGTATACGTTCATGGAATTTTTGACTTTCATTTAGAATGCATCTTCACTCTGGGATGATTATGACAGGCAGAAAGATTAATTTCTCTTTTGAACGGCTGATGAGAATTAAGAAATACTCAAGCGTGATTCCAACCAATTTCTGTGAGTAAATATGTAATATATATTTGCCAGAATTTTATGCTATTTCATTTAAAAGCATTTTAATTGTTTGTTCTTCTTTAAGGATTAAATTTGATATTAAAATTAATATAATTTTAATGATATCAAATTTGATATTAAAATATTTGAACTGTTTTCAAACAGTTAAATAAAACTTTTGCTGCTATCTTTAAGCATTTTGGAGATATTTTACATGAAGAAATTGTCAATAAGTAGTTCACAAAGCTGATAAAGTGATTTCATGTCTCTAAATATATTTTTCTCTAGAAACAATGTAGAAAACTACATGAAACTACAGAAGACCATCTTGAAAAATTCAAGAATGTGAGCAGCTCATTAGCACCTCAACTTAGTGAAAAACAAAGACCTCTTTTGGAGAAGGAAGTCATTGAGATTGAAAACAGAGTACTGATGGTACTTTCCACATTAAAAGAGAATGTAGAATATTTGGAACATACCACTGAAAAATGGACAAAATTCAACTTTAAATTGGAAAGTTTTGTCTCGCATACAGATGACATAATTGATAGATTGAAGGAAATTCTTTCTGAAACATCTCCTCCTGAAGACAGATTAAGGAAACTAGATGTAAGTCAGATTGTATTTTACTTGTGAAATTTAAAATTATAATGTTTTCACATTTTATAATTATGTTGAATTAGTAGTTACAAAGATTAATCAAAATATATGTGAAATCATTGCAATTGATTTGTATATTTTATCATGTTTATTCAGAATATAATAATTTATTCTAATAGAAATTTTTGATAAAATAAATGAAATTTTAGGAAGTTAAAAGCATGCAGTTAAAATTCGTTATTATTATACATTATTGTTGCAATAAAAAAGATAATGTCAAAAATATAAATAAATGGTAGAATAAATGTAAATATGAAGAAAGTAATAAAATAAATTTAAAGGATTTCTAGGAAGATAAAATAAATATTAAATGTGTAATAATAATCCAAAACATTTATTAATTTTTCTCCTGTGTATCTGCCTCTAGTTAAGCTTTACTTGTTCTGAATCTTTGGCATCCATATCACATTTTACTGTTTTGGCATTTTGCCACAGTTCAGCCTCCTACAAAGGACTAGTGTCAGCTATTCTTTTTTCATTTTTATTTGTCTATCTACAGGAACTCCATGCAGAGATATGCGAGCAGAAGCAAGTGTTACTGAACCTGGAAACTGAAAGCAAGGAGTTGGCTCAGGATCAACCAGAGAGTGCCAATGTGAAGAAAATAATTGGCCAGTTGACGAATTTGAAGGATAGACTTCAAACTTTAGAAGAAACTATCATCACCCAGAGAAATATAATATCTAAGAATCTCGAAGCATTAAGTAGCTTGAAGGATATACTTAGAGCAGAACGAGATGAACTGAGAACTGCAGAGTTGAGAGTGGAAGCTGGTATCCCCACACCTACTACTTTAAAGGAAGCAAAGGAAAAGAAAGCTGATGTTGTAGTGAGTATCTTATATTTGTGAGTAAACATGTTCAGCTAAGATGTGTGGAAACTGTAGTATATTTAAAAATGCTTTTTATAGTAATATGTTTCTATCTGATATGAAGAAGCGATTTTTTTTAATAATCTGTAAATTGCAAAGAAAACTGAAGTACTGTTGTGTTTATGTCTAAATTTATGTTAAATTGGTAGTTTTGTGTGATTTTATAAGATTCTATAAAATGGTAAAATTTATAACTGAGTAAATCACATCGGCACATTTTATATTCATCAGGTGAATTACAAAATGTATGAGAAATATATTAACTAATCATAATGAAAGAAAGTTTTTCATAATGAACAAGTTTTAACTGTGATTTAAATTTAGTGTATATGTAAATGACTAATATTTCCTTATGAGCCATATGTGATACTTTGTAATGTTAATTTTTGCTTTATTTATCACATTTTCTATTGTCATTATGTATTTTCAAATAGGAAATAATTTTGTTTTGAAATTGTTTATGAGTTTTTCTTCTGCACTCTTTACATGATTTCAACAAGCTTTTTTTCCTTCTCTAGAAATTCTGTGATCATTGTCACAGTAAAATAAGTTATTTGTCTGATGTTAGTACACAAACAAGTGATACATTAACTGATGCTGCCATCCAGACTGAATTCATAGAAATACAAGACCAATGGGAAAATATTGCTGAAACAATACAGCAATGGATTGAACAATTACAAGTCATAGTTGCTCTTTGGGAAGGCGTTACCATTAAATTAGAAGGTATTTTAAAATGGCTAGATGCGACAGAAACAAGTGTGAAAAGTGTAACATCTGTTGACACTGTGAACATCTCAAAATTAGAAGAGCTAAAACTGAAATTAAAGGTATGTTTGTAATTTTATAAAGTTTTACATTTAATTACTTTTAAATAACTTTATTTATTATTAGCCCAAAAGGTCTATTAAATTTGTTTTGGTATTTTGCGTCAAAAACTTTAAATGTCCGTTTCACTTTTCGTATTGTTGCCACCAAATATTATCACCCTGTGTTATATTTAAAGAAATTAAATAATGAAGAATCTGTATAAATGTATATATGTTTCTCACACATATAAAACAACAGTACCTAGAGTCATTAAATTTTGAATATCATAATCCTCCACCGAATATGGGCATCTGGAAGCCCTAATTTGGAATTTGTTTTATTATCCATTTCATATTTTGTAACAATTTAACAAATATTTTATTAGCAAACTCAATGATTTCAAAGCAAGCAATGACACCACTGTATGGGAAAAAATCATTTTTATCTCAAATGACACCACTGTATGGGAAAAAATCATTTTTATCTCAAGTGCGCGAAACTGTGTATCAGAAATTCTAAAGGATATGCTCATTTTAAAATTATTTTGTGATATTGCTGTTAATTTGAATTTTATGGTTTAAGTACGAAGAACATGATATTTAATAAATAAAATTAACACAAAGCATTGAAAAAACTCTTCTTTGGGTGTAATGTAAAATCGGAAAGCTTACAGATTTAAAAAGAAATTTTTTTTTTTTTATGTTTACTTTTGCGCAAGGCATAAATAAGAGTATGCAAGGAATGCCCTTGCCTAGGGGCCCAAAGTCTTCATGGCTTAGGCATGAGTGTCCTGCTGAACTACATTTATATGTTTAAACTTAAGAGAAGACAGATATATGTAATAGAATCTATCTTTTAAGTTTTTAAGGAGCATGGGAGAGGCAAATTGGGACCCATGGAAACAGATAAAACAGCTGAGTTCAATGCTGTATCCACTCAAGCTTTAATAGAATACAAAACGAAAAGGCTTTGTTTGATTCCTCCTTTGCTTTTGTTTTGATTCCTCTGTAGAGCAGAATTTTCAGGTCGTTAGTTACAATGGAGACTAGTGTGTTGCTCATATTTAGTGGGACAACAAGTTCCAAATTTCTTGATGTGAGCACTTGGCAAAGGTATAAAAAATGAAGGTACAGGAAGTCAGGGCCCCTGAAGTTCATTAGAGTTCCCAGAAATCTCAGTTTTAAGAAACTATTTTATATTGCAGCCGCAGGTAAAATTTTCTTGTAAATATGAAAAAAAAAAAAAAAAAAGTGAGTTGGCTGAGGTTAAAATTACTGCTGCTTCTGGGCACTGTAGACTTCATACCTGTTCTTCTTTTAAAACTTGGTTGTACAATTAATTTATTTACGTATATCACACGATAATAGTTCAGTCCTGAAGAAAATTTTTAAAAAGATTAAAATCTCTCTTTTTCCTTTTTTTCCATTCATGTTTCCTACTTTTGCAGTTTTCCACTTTTTTTTTTTTTTTTTTTTTTTCAGTTGTCAGACTTGAATAGGTTATACCTCATTTGACATACACTAATTTCAGTACTAGCTTTTGTGTATATAATTTTAGAAAAAAATATCTATGTTCTTTTGCCTCATAATTTTTTAAGCTTGTAATGAAATCTTATTCATTATGATTCATTAAGTTATTGATGTGAATATATTTGGACTTCTTGCATTGCACAGAAGGAAAGATACATTATAAAAAAAAAACATAGATACATTATAAAAAAAGATAGTTATTGCAAAAATTGACCTAAAATAAATTCTCATCAATTGTAGGCCTTTCATACTGGTCATTGTAATAGAATGGCCATTATAACAAGTGTTCATCATACTATCATTTCTAGCATGTTTTTCTTACAATCTAACTATTTAGGTATTAACTTTCCAAATCAGAGAACACATTAAGTGAACAGACAACAATCAGCTATTTTACATAAACAATGAATGTTTTCCTGAAAAATGAAGAGACCCAATGGGAGCTTTTCATAGTGATATAGGCCAAATAAGAATATTTCCTAAAAACTTCTAATAAACCTTATTTCTGAAATTGTCCATAAATGTTTCCAAAATATAGATCAGAGTTACTGTGTCTTAAATAAAAAAAAATTAAAAAAAAAAAAAAGGGGGAAAGTATCGGCCAGAGAAATTCTGCCCCTTAACTCCTCAGGTTTTGAGGATAGTTATTGTCCGATAATCTTCCCTGCCTCTTGTCGGATGGATGGCATTCGTGCTACTCACAGCTATACACTTTCATAAATTCCCTTTTTTTTCCACCTCAACAGTGGAATGTTAGCTCTAGGGAAAGAACTTTCGGTTTTGCATAATTCACTTGCTCTCTAGAATTCTGCATTAATACTTCTATCTGAAAGATACAAAATGCAATAAAATACAGTGAAAATATTATAAAAAAGAGTGTTTTTTAGCTAAGGATAATATTAAAAAGAATACATACATTAAAAAAGAAAGCTGTTATCAAAAAATGCAAGGGAAAAAATGAAGTGGTATATAGTTTAAAATGATAAAATATTTACTACTATTAAAAAAAAAGTTTTCTTTTTTTAAAAAAAAAATTAAATGAGAATATTAAAAAGAAAAAAGTTTACTCAAATTAAAAAAGAAAAAAAAAAAAGATGCTAATATCACAAAACTGCATGGTGATTTGGTTAATTTATATGTGTAAAACTAAAACTGTTACTCAAATTTCATAAAAAAATCATTACGAATTTCTGCAAGAAACAAATACTTCAAAATTATTTTCATGCATAATTAAAACAGTTAAAATCAATACATGCAATTTTAAACTATACAGTACAAAATCTTTAATCCAGACTCGTTGGGACTTCGGCGATTCTGGATTAGGGGTTTCTCGGATTATAGATCATCAATTTAAATCCGTAATTTATGAAATAAAGAGCAATTATGATCTAAAGGGTATCAAAATTTACAAAAAAAAGCTTAATATTTATTTGTTTACTTTAATAAACATTTTTTTTCAATGCGCGCATAGTCGAAATTAGAAAATTGCAACCAGAAAACTATTAGATGTGTATTCGTGATATTTATAATGATGAGGAATTTGATTTAAATCAAAGACGGAGTACATCGAGATGAAATACTACATTTAGTAAGGAATTATAAGTCAAATAAAATAAAAACATCTGCCCTGAAGATTAGGATAGTGCTGAGAGATCAACTTCCAGTTTATTGTGCGCTGCAACATTCCCCCCGCAGAGCAGCGTCAAATTGATAAACAGATTTCGGAATGTTTAGAGAAATAAAGGATATGCTTTTATCCATTTTTTGCAGCAATTCCACTTTTTGTTTGATGGACCTCGAACATGCTTTCGCTTTGTAGATCCTTGCCAGCTCCAGAATCGGAAACCTCCTTTTTGACATAATCGAAGATCAGCTTAATTTTATAAATTGCTCTAACAGTCTACAAAAATAAAGCTGAATCCAGTTAGAAGTTAAAGACAATGCACTCAACCATTAACTGACATAGATAATTAGATAATTTTAGCCTAGCTTATACCGTCTTTATACATTAAACCTGCATGCGTAAATGTATTATGCGCATGCGTAAAGGTAATATGCACATGCATAAATGCATTATGCATTTATTCATGCACAGAAAGTTTGTAGCTTTGAGGTCCAAATTATAGATCATTCCGGATTATGGACGTCCAGATTAAAGACTTTGTACTGTATTCAATTTGAAAAGCAAATTAAAACTGATTAGAATATGTACTGATGTCAGGCATACATAGAAAATATTTGCTGTCAAGGCCTACTTCAAAAAAAAAAAAAAAATTAACGGTAAATAGAATATAAGGTAACCTTTGTAAAAGTCCATTATTCAACTATGAAATAGCAATTTTTAGGGTCTCCCTAGTTTAGGGATAAGAAAATGAAAAAAGTTTCTTTATATTCCATAGTCTCTTATCTGAAAATTAACATAGACGACCCCCTAAAGAAAAGGTTTCAGAAGTCATCAATGATTGCCTCTGCAATCACAGCTCAAAGGGAGGTGGAAGGGAATAGGAATTTTCAGCAATCTTACTTTCTCAGCAATTAGTTATTGTGCTTCTGTAGGTATATAAAGTAAATTGATTGAACAAGAAATGCATAAACCATTTAATTTTAATCTGCAGTAATAAATGTTCAGTACACATGAAATGATTTGTAAACATATGACATGAGACATAAAAATAAGGGACATATGACATAAAAATTTTCATTTATTCTTAAATGTTATGTTTTTAACCATCATGCAACATTTGAAGAAGTTTGATGTAGTATTTTTTTAAGAAAAGTGTACCAAACTAGCACACTGTCACAAAAGATGTTTCAAAGGTAAGAGAAATTAAACAACTGGTTTTTAAAAACATTAGCTTTAAATTTACATTTTATGTAAATTATGTAATTATTTTATTTATGTAATTATTTTATATAATCTACAAACTGTCTATTTTAAATGAAAAAAGAATTTAGAATATACATTTATTTTGGGGAAAGTTATACCATAATAATATTTGTCCCAAAATAGTTGCATTTTGCCAGTCGATATGTCACATTTTCCTTAAATAAAATAAAACCACAACTACAAGAAATTGACACAAATACATAGATTTTCTTTTGTATATATATGATATATATATATATATATATATATATATATAAACTACTTTTCAGACTACTTCAATCTAGTTAATTTAAATGGAATAGTAGGACACCAAGAACATAACGTATTCAATTCCAAAGAATTTTGTTGAAATTTTGGAAAAGTGTAAAAATGGATTGAACATTTAAAACTTCAGAATTATGTTGTATTGAATATTAATACATCGAAAAGGGAAGTATTTTAAAAGTTTCATTTGTAATAAGGTTTACTGTCTTTTCGTATGAAAAGAGAACTAACTTAAAAATATATGCTTCTATCTCTCTCTGTTTCTTTCTTTTTTTTTTTTTTTAACATGTACGTTTTATTTCATATAATCTTCTTTTCTTTGGAAGCAGACTTTGGCATCAGGAATTGATGAACAACGTGGCATTCTCCAGAAGGCAAATGAAGATATTGATGAACTGTCCAAACATCTGTCACCGAAAGCTGTTATGTCTCTTCATGTGCAAACTTCAGATCTCCAGAAACGCATTGATGAACTTGGTGACACAATCCGTGTACAGATGATACGTTTGGGTTCGTTGGTGGCTGAGCAAGAACAACTTCTGAAAACTATTGACAGTTTTACCAAATGGGAAGAAGATGTTAAACTTCAGCTGAATAAATATGATGATATTTTTGTGGACCAGATTGAAGCAGTCTTGAAAAAAATCCAGGTAGTGATAATAAAGCAGGAAAAGTAATTATAACTTGCTCTGAATGTAAGACAGTATTTTCACCCTTAAATTGTCCTTGTGGAAATTATCAGGATTTTATATGCACAGCCTGTTAATAAAAAATGCATTAAGGTGATTTATCACTTATTTTTTGTGCTCTGAAAGAAAACATATTAATATAGTTTCACCCCAAAGTGTAATAGTTAGGCTATAAAACTACTTTTCGTGTAAGCTGAAGAACATCTTCAATATACCTGGCTCATATATATGAAGCTTTTTTCCAGTTAAGACATTTTTTTTGTATTAAAAAAAATATGAAATTAGTAACCTTACATGTAAGATCTGCCTATATTCATAGCCAATACATTGTTTACTCCAGTTTCTTATTAATCCGGCTTAAATTCATATCTATTTCTAGTAAATAAAAAGTATCAAATTACCTTTTTCAGCTTTAATGAAGAAATCAAACTGAAGTTCCTAAAAATCTTCTGAATTTATAATTTTCATTACTTTAGGGATTATTGTTTTTATGTATAATTTTTTTTCTCTTTAATTCTTTCAGATATTGAAGATTGAAAATGATGCTAGGCAAGTTGATTTCAACAATATTTATGAAGAAGTAAAGAAATTAAGAGATTCATATGATTCATCTGAAATTGAACAAATTACATCACTGTATTCTAGACTATCTGAACTCTATCAAAAAACTGAAGAGTTTCTATCAAGGAAACAGAAACTTCTTGAAAAATTTCTAGATTTTGAAGCATGGCAGAAAGATATGTGTGAACATATTGAGCTTCTGATGCATAAAATTGGTGGTAAAAAGTACACTTCAAAAGAATTGCACAGTATAACAGAAGAATTTTCTAAACTTCAACGGGAATTTGATAAAAAGTCCAGTGAAGTGGTTAATCTTGATGAATTTGCACAAAAAGTGAATCAGATTATTAGGGACAGAGTGACTTCTACACCTGTTACAGCTGCTGATCGTTTAGCTCACATTCAAGATCTTCTTAAATGTGTGAATGAAATATTAAAGAAAGAGGAAGAAGGAGTACAAAAGTTAGATAAAAAATGGGCAGAATTTAATGAAAAATATTCATCACTATGTAAGTGGCTTTCAAATGTGGACCGAAAAATTGAAGATTTGCATTCTGATTCATCCACAGTAGCCAATTTTGAAAAACAACTGAAAACCTTACAGGTGAATTTACTGCTTAATTTTATTTCTGCATTTTGTGTATTTTAACACTTTCATTGAGTCAAATAAAGTAATTCGTTGTTTTTGTACCACCATCAGAAATTTTCAGCTACATTTTTTTTTGAAAAGTTGAAAATAAGAATATAAAATCCTTTCTAATTATTGAAATAATTTGATCAAAAATTAATAATTTAAGTTCTAATTTATTTAATTATCACAAGAAGTTTACTGAATATTAACTTCAAAATAGAGGTTTGATTATATTTGAGCTCAGTCTGTGCAATTGATGAAGGTAACTTAACATAATGAATTTAATTTTTGCATTTTTTGCCTGCTGATTGTCCCTTCAATAATATGAGGATTTTTTATACTTCTTTTAAACAACAATTACCACATGATAATAGAAAAAAATTCATTCAGAATGCATTCACATTACTTATAGAGTATAATCTAAAATTTGTAATGCATTGCTCATGGGTGGAAGAAATGATGGAAGTATATCAAACTTCAAGTTATTTGAATCATAATGAAGTTTTGATTATAAAGAATTCTAACTCATTTTCAGTTCTTGAAACTGAAATAAAGTTCTCCCAGTGAAAATGTTATTAAATAAATGTACACATACACACACACACACACACACACACACATATATTATATGTATATATATATACATATATATATATATATATATATATTTAGAAATATTATATATAATTATATATAATTATATTAGAAATTTTAAATGTAAACCCAAATTTGTAATGTATGAGCTCATAGCTAACTTTAATCTTATAGGATCTTCTGAGAGAAATGGATAGTCAGTCTACTAATTATACAAATATACATCATCTGGGACGTTCATTGATTGAAGAAGACTCTTCATCATTTACTACTATTCAAGGCTTTCTTACAGCTTTGGACAAGCAGTGGGAACAAATATCAGCAGAACTTACACAGAAAGAGAAATCAGTAGGTCATCTTATGCAGTTGTGGAAGGAATGCTATTCTCTTCGAGATCAGTTAAATGAGGCTTTGAATAATGCATCACAATCTGTAAAGCCTCATTCTTTTGTGCCATGTGACTCTGTACAAGTTTCAAAGTTACTAGAGAATGCTAAGGTATTATTTTTTATGTTGTTGATGATTAATTCTCATCAGTCGTTTGATGAATGTTGTATACTTTCCTCTTAAACTTCAGTAGTAGATGCAGTCAGTATTTTATATGTTTTATATTTGGCAAAATCCATGTTGTAGAAAGCAATAATGAATGTATATGCATAGCTAACATAAATCATTTATAAGGAAATTTTGTTTTCATTACAAAAGAATGAACATAAAAGAAGTAAAATTTTTTTCATGTAGAAATTCTGTATACAGTAGTAACATTGTTGAATTAAATAATTATCAGTACTGATTTAATTGTATTGATGCACTAAATGTTGAGTTCATAAATTCACTAATCAATGAGGTTACTTCTTTTATGTTTTCTAACTACATATCCCAGTAGAAAAACTGTAGGTTTTTTCTTTTGTTACTATAAACTAAATACAATACACTTTCATTTAGATATTTCACTTTTTCCCCACAAGGAAAACTAGTGGTTCACATGCTTTACCTTTGCATAATCAGTCACATTTCTTTATTATACTAGCACCAAAGTTAATGTTTTTCTAGAAATCAGGTTTTTTTTTCAGTATGAAAATTATTGTATTTGATACTGAAAATGTAATACAAAACAGTAATAATTTTATTTCAATGCATGTATGAAATGGATTTTTCATCACAAATAGATTTTCTGTATTACATTTTCATATCTGAAGAATATCTCAAAAGGCAAAAAGATCTGTGTATATTAAAGAAATAATAAGTTTAAAATGTTTTACTAAAAGAAAATTTAGTCACAGATTTTACTTAAATATCAGTAAAAAATAATGAATAATTTTAATGTGTAGTATTTTAACAGCATTGCATTTGATTCCAACTCTTAATACGTAATATTTATTCTTTTTGATGAATTAAAGACTAGCATGTAAAATTGCTGAAATTTTGTAATTTATTTAAATGTAAGTAGTAATTTAGTAATTTAGTAATTTAAATGTAATTTATGAATCAGTGTTATCTGCTCTCATGAAATTTACTCCTGAAGTACTAAAATAATTGACATTTATGGCAATATTATTATTTAATGTATTGTAATAATATTATTATTAAATGTATTGAAAGGACTATTTGCATGCTGGTATTTAAATTTATGAAAGTTGAAACGTCAGGATTTTTATGATGAAACCTGGATGTCTGAGATCCTTAATAATGCGTAAGACTACGTACTTTTACTTAATGGTGACATTATAATATACATTATGCACAGTCACAAATCTAAGGAATACTATAGGGCTGCAACTTCCTCCGGAGCTAAAACAAAATTCTTGATTTTCTTTAAAAAATCAATACACCTGTTTGTTCTTAATCTCCTAAAAAAAAAAAAAAAAAAAAAAAAGTTGCAACGTTGCTTTCTGGTTTGACAGGCTTGAAAACTTTCCTGCTTAACAAAAAAGGGGGGCAGTGAAATAGACTTACTGGCATTTATAAATATTATAATTTAGACATAAATGCTAATGAAGTGCTCAGTAAGTCAGATCGAAAGAGCCATTGTATGAATATTACCTTATAATTTACTTTCATTTTTTAACTTGGGCAGTTTAATATTTAATGTCAATGAATTTTGTTGTAACATTTAATAACTAAAAAAAGAAAAACTGATACTATTTTCTATGTCTATATCATCATAATCAGGTCTTTAAATATCACTTAGTCTTTTTTTGTTTAGATTGCTTAAGCACCTGATAAAATGAATTTATGATAACAGAGAGTTTATGATGATAGACTAAGAAAACGCCTTTGTTCACTCAGCAAAATTTGGAGATATCACTTGGCACAAAATGTTTTTGAACTCAACTCTCTCTTGACCAAAATCCTGGCTTCACCAGTGATTATACATGTTAAGTTATATATAATAGTACTTTATTGTGCACTACCACAGAAAATTTGTTTTAATGATGTTTTTGGTAAAAGAATAATTTAACCTCTTTGCTGCTGGTACAGGAAGAATGAAGTTCCCCTTGGGCCCATGGCCTTGGAACATTGAATATCACTCTGCACCTAAACACATTCTGCAGTTAAGCTTAACATGGAAGCATAACTCCTGTAAATTTTGTATCAAAATATTTGGATTCTTGCATATATTAATTAAATGCTATTCTTTAATATAAAGAGAACATTTTTGTATTTATAAAGAAACTAAAATTTAAAAATAATTTACTGTGCAGCATTAGAAATAATTATATCAGCATTTTAAAATGATTTCTAGACACTCATAAATAAAGAAAATGGAAAAATTAAATATTTGTGCCTATTATATCCAATTTTTATATTTATATACAAGAGTTTAGGCCACAGACTTTGAATGCACATTTTAAATATCATGTATTTTACATCTGTAGAATAAAATAGTAAATAATATTCTTAACGACAAGGTTTACACTCAAGGCATTCAATTCAGTTTTCTGGCATTTTGACATAATTTATTTACATTTAAAATATTAAATAAAATGTTCTGTTTCATCATACTAGGTATGTTATGGTGGACCACTAGTGACTTAAGTTTATATTTTGTACAATGGGTCCAAGAAGGGAAACTGAAGCATATCATGTATGATATGCTGTGAATGAAAAGGTTAACAAATACTACAATACATTCAATTCTGACTGCAGTTTTCTCAACTTTTCAATTGTTGGATAAATGTTTAATGTACAATTTGTTTCTTTTCAGGCTGGAAATGATGTTCTTAAATCCCATCGGTATGAAATGGACAATTACAAGCAAAAATGTAAAGAGCTATTGGAACAACTAGAAGTTATCGAAAAATTTGATAAATCTGGTTTAGTGCAGACTTCTGCGGAAATCCATAACAAATGGAAAGATACATGCTCAAAAGTTGAAACTCAGCTTCTAAATTTAGAATCACAAATGGTGTTTTGGCAACAAATTGAATTTAATAAAGAAGAAGTAATTGCCTGGGCAATTGAAATGTGTCGATGCCTTGATGAATGCATTAATAATTTTGAAAGCAAAGAGAAAGCTCAACTTATTTTAGATCGATATAGGGTAAATTTCTTTCATTTTTGTTAGTGATATAATTGCTATTATAAGAGGTTTATTATTTGTAAAACTGTAATAAAAATAAATAAATCTTACATAAAATTATAATAAAATCATATATGTTATAAAAAGTAATTGCATTTAAAATAATTTTTTTTTTAAATTACAAACTTTTTACTCTAATTCAGTAACTTTTGATAACATATTTTAGATTTATCTAAAAACAAGTGAGTATTTAAATAGAAAAATGTAGATTTCTGAAAAATTTTAACTTTTAGCTTCTTTAATTTGCTATTTTATTGCAGACATTTGAAACGAATACATGCATGAAATTAAAGGTTGTTAAAATAAATAAGCATTTTATTCTCATTAATCCTTCAAAGATTATTTACTTGAAGAAAATCGCATTTTTAATACAGAAATTTAAATCACCGTTTGGTTAAGTCATATTTATTTGTGCTTGTTCTGTATGGTGTTTCACTTTATAAGACAAAAAGTAAAATGATAAATTTTTGCAGTCTCTGCTTACTCCTCAAGTCTCAGTGGTGTAAAAGATATACTATATGTCAAATTTCATGAAGATTGGATAATATTTAGAGGTTGCACACTTTGATCAGTTTCATAAAAGTAATAAAAAAACACGATTTTTCAATGTGAATTACTTTCATTAAAAACTAGAAATCATAAACTTAAAATAATATTAAAACTAGACATTAAGATTAATAGGTAGTATGATAGGGAAATATGTGTTAAATTAATCAATTTTGCAATCCTTTCTTTTGTTCACTTGGTGAAAACTTTTCTGTGTTGCTTGACTACCCTCAACAAGAATGTTTCTGTTTTTCATTCCTGAATGATTATTTAAACTTTTTTATCAGAGCAGTTCCTCTTTCTTTGGTATCACTGACTACTTTAAGAGCATTTGCATGGCTTCTTAGAGAATCACTGCAGCATTCTGTCAGGTTGCAGATTCCAAACAATTCAGAGAAAGTCTTTATTTCATTAGTAATGAAATGGCTCAGGTCACTTACTTCAAAAACTAAGTTTTTACCCTCTAATCATTTAATTTCCTTGACGCGCCTCTCCCGGGCTCATTCTTAAAAGCTGAGCTCGAGAGAGAATTACTCAAACATTGGCAAAATCTGTGGGAGACATAGACCACCAGCAGAAGAGTTCACAGATTTTTTCCAGAAGTTTGACCGGCTTCTAAAAAGTGGCTTGTCTCACTTCACTAAGTTTCTAACAAGACATGGTACCTTCATGACTTACCTGCATCGCTTCAGATGACGCAAAAACGACCATTGCTTATGCGGGATGGTAGAAGATCCGGACCACTATCTGTTCGCTTGCAGAGAGACCGCCAAATATCATCTTAGGCAACCAGTAGCGAACCACACCCATGCTTGGGTTGAAGCTACTTCGAAAAATCACAATGCATTGAAACGCATATGCGATTTCATAAATATTCCACGCAAAATCTCAGACAGGCTGGAGTAATTCTCAGCTGCCACCCTCGTCACCAGCACAGCCCCTGTATGCTCTGTACCTGTAATGAACTAATTTTATCTTAAGTTAGCTTATTTGGCTTTTCTTATTTCCTGTATATACGTATCTCCTTGAACTGTAAACCCTGACTTATGATCCTTGAATTATGTTATTTTGCCTTTAGTTTTATGTATTGTTTTTTTCACTGTTTTGCCTTTTTTAAATTTTATTTTATGTATTATTTCACTTTTTAGTATTTTACTTCTTATTATTTTTAGTATTTCTATTTAGTATTTAGCCCTATTTTATATATTACTTTTACTGTTTATCAGTCACTTTGTTAATTGCTCATATATTGCACTGTACTCATTTATTGTTCATGTTGTGAATGTCTTTTGTAACCATCTATCCATAACTCTGTAAATATGTAACTGAAATTGTTCTTCTCAACCACAATGCACCCTTCTTCCATCACTGCACTATCGTCTCGTCCAGCATTTGTTTGCACTGCCCCCAGCACTCGTCTTGAGCATAATATGTATATATAAGTGTGTTATGTTGATAAAGTTATTTCCGTCAGTGGGGCTACCTGGCCGATATGCTAACTACCCAGTGGACCGGCTGCCTCGCTGTTGGTGGAAAGAAAGAAAAGTTATATATTCTTTATTAGCCTGAGTAATATGCTTGTCCCCCCAAAAAAAATCCTTCATTTGTTTCTGACAGATACCAAAGATATCTCTTAAAACTGTTTCATTTCTTTGAATTCTTGTTGAGGAGTATTCGAACTTTTGTTCCTTCAAGCAAATTCCTTATTGTCATTCTTACCATTTACATGCATTTTTCAATCTTATAGTTTATTAGTTAATTTTTATATTGATTTTTAGTTTTAATCTAATGTTTAATTTCCTAACCTTTTCCTTTGCTTTTTTTCCCAAGAGTTGTTTTTTTTTTGGGGGGGGCATTCATAAGGCTCTCTCCTATCCTTGTAACCAAGAATTTTTCAATAGTAACTGGTTTTGCACTTCATCAAATTATTACTTAAAACTTTTCATGCAAAACTGGAACATAAAGCTAATGATTAAAGCATTTATAAACCTGACAAGTACAGATTCCTAGTACAGTATGTGTAATGTGTATTATTCTGTTATTGGAACTGGATCAGGAAATGTATGAATGTATGCATGTGTGTATGTATGTATGTGCATTTATGTGTATATGTATATATACACACATTTATACTTACTTATATACATGCATACATGAACATGAAGTGTTTAGTGAAGAAGATAATTTTAATTGCATATTGCCTTTGCCATACACCTTGCTTGTTGCTGAGCCTCTGGGATCCTGAAACTGAAGTCATTTTGAGACCAACCTTCTAGGTACAGGACTAAGTTTAATAACTCTTCGTACTCTTGTCTTGGATGACTTCTGTCTTTTAGCACATTTGGGTGTAGTAAACCATTCTCACTCGTTGTTCATCTAGTAGCTATGAATGGGACTTCCTTCATCTAGCATTGTCATATATGACTTCTTATCAAGTGAAGCCCACAGACTTTAGAACTTCCAAAAGCTCTGATGGACCTTTTGATGGTATGCCACAACATTTCCCAAACACTGCTTTCAATGTTGGTTCGTGGGTGTGATGACGCAAAAGCCAACCACAACAATTTTTGTCCAAATTCTCTTTCAATTATAGTGCATGTCCCTTCGGTCAGTCCTCTATTAGATCAAAAGACATACCAATGATGGAGTCGCTTAGCTTAAATCAATCCACTTCCCTAAGAACTGCTTTAGCCATCTGTGGCCAGTAATACCAGTGCCTCTCAGGGCAACAGGTATGTTAAGCAAATACTGAAAAATCTTTGCTAGTCACTACAACTGCAGTTTTATCTTCCAAATATTTGACACTGCTATGGGCAACTGAAGGCAACAGTTTACTATCCCACTGCAAGACCAAATGAAGAGGATTTTCAAAGAGTCACTCTTCAATTTTCTTTGTTATTTTACTTCTACTGATCATCATAGTTAAGTTAACAGTAGCTGGAGATACGAAAATTTTTAAAGCATCATGGCCAAGAAAAGAAATACATAAGAAGCCCAGCAGTACAAAGAGCACTTCAATATTAGAAATTTTACTAGTTTGAGAAAAAAGTGATCAAAGTTTGCAAACCCTAAATATTATTAAATTTTTTTGAAATTTGGCATGTATATCTTTTATATCATCGAGACTCGGGGCATAAGCTAAGTCATATGAAAATGACATCTTTGGAAAAAGGAAACACCCTATTGTTTTATTATACAATTATGTAAGTAGTAGTTTTTTATATTGTAAACTTGTTTTGATATGGTGCTAGAGTTAATTATACTTTCAAAAATGTAATTTCCATATCTTTTCATGTCAATATTTATTAATTTTAGGTGTATGAGAAGTGCTGTTTCAGTTTTTTAACTATATAAGAACAAAATGTTTGGTACATGTATTAAAATATAATTACAGTAGCAAAAGCCTGAGTTTTATTATGTAACATTTTTTGGTTTTGTTTTGAGAAGCATTTAGTTTTAAAATATATATTTGATTATGTTTTATGCATTAATTTATTGCAGATATAAAATGTGTTATGATGAAAATTAAATTACATTTTATAATTTTATTTTAGTGTGAACTAATTTCTTATTCTGAAATGAAAAATGATGTCTTCAAGAAAATAGAATCATTACAAAAGTTGAACAACAGTGTTGAGATTCCAACTTTAACTTCTTTGAAAAGTGTTATTCAGAATCACTTTGAAGAAGTAGCAAATCTGGCTTCCAAACTGGAAGGGTGTATTAAAGAACTTGGTGCAGAGGAAGAAGATGTTAGAAAAGAACAACAACAGTTGAGTGAATGGTTACGTCTTATGAGAGAAGCTGTGTCAAAATGTGAAGATATATCTGCTGATGATGAAACTATTCTTCAAAACTATGAAAACTGTAAGGTGAGTGTAATTAACACAGGCCTTTTTCTTAAATGCAGGAATTTTTTAAAAATTGTGGCACTGTTTTCTTATCGGGACTGGATTCAGAAATGTATTTGCACGTGTGTATGTATGTGCATGTATGTGTATATGTATACACACACAAACATTCATACTTACATATATACATGAACAAATATATACATTTCTTTATCCGGTTCTGATAACTGAACAGTAACAAAATGATCTAATAAAAACTTAAAAGATATTGTCATGTTGAAAGTTTATTGCTATTATGATACAAGTATCTCAAAAATTCACTATTTCTTATACTTTTTAATTACACATTATTCATATTTCATGTAGAATCTTGCACATAAAAAAAAACTTGACCTCTAATTGAACTCAGTAATTTCTGATAGGATACTCTTAAATTCCTATTAAAAGATATACTATTATCTGTGTAATCTTTTAGTTTAAGATGTTATGAACATTTTATTCAATAAAAGATAAATACTTTTCATCTTTTAATTGACTTTTGGAATTCAGTTATGCATTTTAATAATTTAAAATGTTTTAACTTTAAAATTCATATGATATGCTTGTAATGTATGTTTAATATAGGATACCTTTTACACTTTTGATAAATGTTTGATTAAACTGGCTCAAAAGCTAGTGCGCAAAATTATTATGGCACTGTTCTATTATCAGGACTGGATGCTATTTGATATATATTATATAATTTAGTTGTATATAATTTTTATTACATCATTATATTTAAATATTTTATTACAGCAACTTGAAAAAGAAATTTCTGATTATAAAGATAAATTTGATAGCATTCAAGCTAAGATCAATTTTGCAAAAGAAAAGCATTCCGGCTTAGATATTTCTTATTTGGAGAAAGAAAATGTAAATCTGCTAAAAAGGTAATGTTTGCTTTCTTGATTGTGTTTTGAACAGTGTAATCTTTTGTAGTTACTAAATACATAGAGGTGTTGTGCATATGCAATATCTAGGCAGTGCATTACTGATATTCATAATTATGTGACTAAAAATATCATATAAATAAAAAATATAATCCATTTTTAAAAGCCATTGAATAAAATAAACTTTATTAAATATTTAAGGAAGTTTGAAAAGAGAAATACTGTTATTAAAAAATTATTAAACAGTCTGATCTGAATGGGATCTTTAGTAAATGCAGTATTTTAACTGAAATCTTTTTTTAATAAAATAAAAAAGAAAATAAATGATTAATTACTTAAGTGCCAAAAGTAAGGGATTTGTAAAAATCAATAACAAAATAATAAATAAAAAAAGTTAATGTGTTTATAATATTAAAATATTTTAAATTTTTAAATGTATTTTTCTTTTGAATTAGTTACATTTAACATAAAAATTATTTGTTTAATGCTTATTTTTATATATCATATTTACAGATATGAAAAACTGAGAGCTACTGTTTCAAAAGTAGGAAATCTTCTATCATCATCTTTAGAACGTCGATACCAAATGGCATTGCAAGACTTTCAGAGATGGCTATTAACAAATGTTGAAAAAGCTTCATCATGTAATCCAGACCTTGCAGGTGATCGATATAGTTTAGAAGCAAAAATGGGTGTCCTCCAGGTATACTTTTTCACTGAAATCATATGCTAATTTTTTGAATTCATAGATTTATTAAATTATATATCTTTTCAAAATTATTTTAAATGTAATTTTTTACTTTCTCAGGAAATTGAAAGCAATGTTAGTAATGGAGAAAGCAAAAAAATAAAGCTTGAATTAATTGCTAACAGTCTTCTTCAAGTCTTACAACCTGCAAAACATTCTGAAGTTCAGTCTGCTGTTGACAAAGCCATATCTGATTGGGAGTCATTTATCTCAACGGTTTCTGGTACAAAATCATCCCTTCAAAAGATTCTAAATTTGTGGCAGAGATATGAAACCGAATTTGAAATTTTCAGTTCATGGCTTAAGGAAATGGAATCAAAAGTAAAAAGTGAGACTACTCAACAGATTGAACTTAATGACATACAGCAGCAGCGCTCCATTATTATGGTATGATATGAATATTTTGTACTGAATATGACTTTTAAATCAAAATAATTTATATTTTTTTGTTTATACATAATTAATCAATATTTAGTTATAAAGATGAAATAGGGTTAAATTTAGGTAGAATGCTTATAAAAAATACTGATTTTGTCTTTTGTTAAAATTTTGCTTTTTGGGACAAGGCAATAGTAATCCAGAATATTAACTCCTTGTATTATTAAAGGGTTTTTAAGAAAAAAGAATCTAAATTTCAGTAAAGTATTGTATGCAATATAACTCACAGGTTATCATTTGACCAGTTTGAATCATGTTTTAGAATTGGAATAGATTCAGAGCTTTGATTTAAATCTACTGAGAAACATTTGAATTATTGGTTTCTGTTGCAGCTATTATCTTTCCATATTGCAGTGCAATAGGCTGTGTTTAAAATAAATACATTTTTCTTTCAAAATTATAATGAACTATTAAACTAATAATAGGTATTTATAATTACTAACTGTAAGAGAAACATGCCAGTGTAGAATTAATTCTATTGTGTGATGTTATCTTGGGCAATCATTTTAGGAATCTGCATCCCATTTACATCACACATGAGCTAACACTTGCATAACCATAGAAGTCCATTCTGCAATCAAAATTCCAACCTCTGTTTAAAACTTTCAAAGTTCAGTGCCTTTACAGATTATTGGTAGTAAATTTAATTTTCTGATAGATACCCAAGATAAACTACAGTTTTTTTGCTACTTTGAACCACTCAAACACTTCCCTGAGCAGCTAGATAATGAAAACTCAGAGTTAAAACTGAAAGTCACAAAATACTATCTGTAATAATTTCTACGAATGTCTCTTACTATCCCATAATTGCTTTCATTACAGTTAAATAATCCATTAATACAAATAAATGTCCCTGATCAAAAAATCCAAATGTTTCTGATCCATCTTGACTTAGCATCTTAATCAGACTAATAGATTTTTGTTTGTTTGTTTATTTTTACTGTTCCCAAAGAGCTTCATTGCCTTTTCCGGCTGTGACTAATATTATTAATCATCTTAGAAATCGATAAAAAGCATATTCAAAATATATTTAAGGTGGCTATTTTATTTAATTTTAAATTGCTTTTAATCAGGTACTCTGTCAATAAATACAAAAACCAGATCTATAGTCTAAAGAAATATTTAGCTATATGGTAATTTTATGGTCTTTTTCTAAAATAGATTTTTTAACAGAAAATTTCATATATGAAGTATGAATCTGTGATTAATAATTATGAGCCAAATCACTTTAAATGTAAATTATGATAAAAGTACTTCTACTGCATTGGATGAAACATAAATGCTTAATTTTCTTTTATTGTGTGATAAAAATACTGTTGAATTGGTTAGATTAGTGTTAAATCAAATGTACAAGTATGATTCGTAGTTACTATTGAATAACTAAAATAAAAGTATTATAGAATTGAAATGAATAAATTAATGATAGTAGAATATAAATATCTGTTTCTTTTTGTTACTATCATTGCTGTGTAGTATTCAAGATATGATGACATAGAACTATTGACTTATTTATGAAATTAGCATGGTGACAAAATTTTAAGTGCATTCAAAAGCTCTTTTACTTTTCAAAAGCCCATTAGAACAAACTGTAAAATCACTGAGCATGGGTAGCCAATCTAAGCTCAAATCCCTAAAAACAGGCTGGCTGTCCCTTCCCAGTGTTTCATGTGAACATGAGGCAGTTTCTGTTAGAAAGTTCCTCACTAAAGCATCTCTCTCCGTAAGCAGATAACTTTAATTATGTGCTTTAACAAAGAATTATGTGCTTTCACATAATCTAATCCAATCTTTATTTTTAAACAAATGTTTGGCAATGTGATTAGTGAATTACACCATTTTCATATTATCATCCAGAAAGATCTAAGTAAGTAACATCTCATCTTATAAGGTATTTCTCCTGCCTTCTTAGCATGCCTTTGTGGTGTAATGGTCAGCACGCTCGACGCATATTCGAGAGGTCTGTGGTTCGAGTCCTGGTGAGGCCATTGCTCATTTTTCATGTCTCCTGCTTCAAAAAAATCCCTAATGTCTCTACAGTGGCACCTGAACTAAAAGGTGGTGAATGATGATTCTTCACCACCAGGATTTGGCAATTGGATCCCCTAAATCCCAGTTGCCCTTTAAAAGGGGGAGTATGTAAGGTATTTCCACTGCCTTCTTAGCATGCCTTCATGGTATAGTGGTTACCACGCTCGACGCGTATTCGAGAGGTCTGTGTTTCAAGTCCCGGTGAGGGCATTGCTCATTTTTCATCTGTCCTGCTTCGAAATAACCTAATGTCTCTATAATCTAACCAAGTGTAAACAATAATTTTTATTAATGAGTATTAATCAGAGCTAAACATCTGAATATAGGAGCGTTTCACATTTCTTGGTCCTTTTACTTTACCATGATGAGTATTTGTGTAGTCAGTTTTTAATAGACTTTTATTCTAAAGTTAATATGGTAGGAAAATGAAATGCGTAAAATTACATGATAAATTGCCTATTTTCTGATAGCTTAAATGAAAATAAATCTGTATTAAATATTCATAGCCCTAGAAAGTACAAGCATTTGATTCTTTTTACCATTAATATTGATATGAAAATTTATTAAAAATTAAATTATATCTAATTAATTTATTGCTTCTGGTATTGGAAAACTGATTTCCAAACACTTATAACCATAAGAACTAGATAAATGTAGTATAGTTAATTCTAATTTTTAATTGCGTTATTTTAATTATAGAAGGTGTTTTCAAGTTAAGCTGTGGGTTTTAATATTAAAATTTTCATTGATTTTCTTTAAATTTTATATTATTTTTATATTATGTTTTATTTATACATGCTTGTTTCTAGTTTATATATGTTTGTTTATATGTATAAAGTAAATTTTTTTAATTAGGAATTACAAAAAGAAGTTACATCAAAGAAAAAAAATCTTGAAGATTTATTACAAATTATGCAGGAAATTAGCATTCAAAGCCCTGAAGCACGACTTAAAACACAAATGTCACAAATATCTTCTAGATTTCAATCTATTGAAAGAAGTCTACAAGTAAATATTTATTTTCACTTTTCCTCATTTTTGATTTAGTATCACTTAATTTTCATAGTTGGTATTTGAAAGTAGAATCTTAAGAAAGTAAACAAAGAATTAATAGAGTATACTTTAATCTGCTGCTGTATTTTTAAAATTTTCAATTTAATTATTAGGAAGCTTTGAGAAGAATAGATACCCTACTGAAAATAAAAAAGGAATATGAATCTGCTAAAGTTGACTTGCAAAAATGGTTGCAAGAAATGGATAAACAATTAGAACCAAATCTTGATTTGACAGGTGATAAAGCTACACTTCAGTCAAAGCTCAAGAGGCTAAAAGTAAGTCAATTTATGAGTGATTAGTATATCTGATAAGAAAATTTGGTACTTATGTATTATTCAGTTGACCATAAAACTGTTGGTAACCGTTGACCATTGAGCTACGAAAGTTGGTGGAGATCTCGCCATACTTACACCATCTTCATTTCTATCTGCAACTCTTATTATTAAACAATCTACCAAAGAGCCACTGCTGAAAAAATTTTCGACCTGCTTTGGAAAAAACTTTTTTTTTTTTCCCCCACTTTGGAAAAGACTTTTGTCAATTTCTGTTATTTTGCTAAGAGCTCTGTTGAGAACGCTATAACCACACTTTCTGCAGATGATCTTTGCAGTCTGTTACTATTTGGTGTGCTATATCCAGTTGTTTTCCCCACTTTCAACAGATATTTCAATCGACCAGATGTAAAAAAACTTAAGTGATTTAACACTCAATGGCCTTCAATTTCTCTTTTTCTTTTCTTTTTTAAATATTAGGCAAAAGTACAGAATTATTAGGCAAGCAAACTCGAAACACAATGGAGAGGCTTGATAGCACAGGGTCAATCATAAAATTAAATACATAAGTCATCACAGTAGAAGTATGTACAGAATTCAAAGAAAGCTAAATATAAGATATTTAATGTAATGCAATAAATACGATAACACATACAAACAGCATATAAATATGAAAATACAGATAAGTACAGAAACAAGTACACAATTATAATGTGGGCTTAGCTCGAAAATTAGAATCGCAGGAGCCGCATATAGGCACAAAGTAAAATGCTCATCTAAAATCTCATAGTTAAAGACTTAAAAATTGCAGAAAGTAAGTGGTCACAGTTGAGTGCTTTGTTAAAGAATTTTGTATTCATTTTGTGCAGGGAGCCCACCAGCGGCCAAGCGGTAAAGTCGCTAAACACTGGTAGTTCGGTCCAAGGTTCGAATCCCACGAACGGGCTGACTGCATGGGCATTTTTGTGGTTTTCCCCATGTGTAACGTGTATACGAGCGAGTTTTCCTTAGAAAGTCCTCCATGAAAGCATTCCTCCCCTTAGGCAGATAGCCTCTGAGGCTTTGCCATAATCACACACACACATTTTGTGCAGGAACTCTTCCACACTTTCAATCTTTAAATCTCTGTGCAAAGTATAATTTCTTATGCAAAAATGGGCATCAGTTACTATCCTTAAAAACTTATTCTGGATAATTTTCAGTTGCGCAATGTCTTTTTTCATAGCAGCTGACCAAGCTGGTGAAGTATAAGAAAAGATAGGCTTTGTCATCGCAGTGTAAGTATGCCTCTTTTTATTAAGATCCAGCTTTGAAAATTTTCCCACTAAAAAGTTTAAGCTGCTGCTGACTGCTATGGCTTTTCTTTTGACATTTTTAATGTGGTTAGTCCAGGTCAGAGATTTATTGAAAACTGCCCCTAAGTAGGTAGCTTTCTGTATAATTAGAATTTCTTAATTGAACAGTAAGTCTGTTAGAAAACAAGGTATTAAGATGCTTGCGACGAATTACCAGTAATTGCAACTTGTGCGCATTTATAGCGATTCTCAAATCTTGACACCATACTTCCAACCTTGGCATGATATATCTTGTAATTTACAGATCGCATGATTCAGATTACTTTACGGCAAAAGCCGTATCATAGGCATAACAACCTAAAAAGTGATTGTGATCTAAATGTGACTTGGATAATTCAGAAACATGGACAAATTGTGGGAGCTAAAATTGACCTCTTAGGGACACCAGCTCTGATAAGCTTCTTATCTGAAGTCTTTGCCTATGCTGACATAGAAGGTCATATTTTGAATGAAGGATCTGAGGAGAAGAATCATTTCTCTGTTGAAATTCAGCAGCTACCAATGCTGAGGAAGATTGTTAAATATGAGGTGGAATGATTTTCAGCAAGATCCAATTTTCTAGCTTGATCATAAGTTTTTGCCAATGAAATAGTGGCATTTCCTAATAATTGTTCTCGAATGCAAGGATTCTTCAAACCATGGTTGAATGCTTCTCTAGTATACTGGTTTTTATATTCTTTAGCAGTAACAGGTTTAAATTCACAATCTATGTGCAATTATTTTAATATTTTTAAATCCATTTATACACTCACCTGTTTGTTGTAATCTAAATGCTAAAGAATGCCAGCAAATATTTCATTTCTTATAGCAATGTAAAATAAATTTAGAGTGCTATGTAAGGGCTTATTAGTATATTAATGACACAGAATTGTAATTATCATACAATTCTGTATCATTAATATATTGATAAGCACTTGCAGATATAAAATTACATATGAGTTGTAATTTCATTCATTGGTTACCTCTTTCACTTGTATGAGGAAATTTCAAATAGTTCTTTACCAGTGTTTTCATTTAGATTCTGTTCCAGCACATGTGGGGTCAGCATCAAATTTTTCTGGTTTTAAAAGTTCTTCCATGTTGGTAAAAAAGAAGTAAAGCATAAATTAGTTTTAATTGATTAAATTGTTGTGAATGTAGTAAATAATTTTTCAAAAGAAGCTGAAATAAAGCTTTAATCAACTAAAACTTCTCATAAAACAGAAGGTTAATCCCTAGATTTTGAGAGCACCATTTAAACAAAGACTAGCTATTACCATTTCATGTAATATAATTTTAGCAATAATATTTATTATTTAGTAATAATTAATATAATTTTAATAAGTAATAATACCACATAAAACATTATAGCAAGTACTTTTTTTTATTATTTATTTTCTGTTTTGTTTCTTCAATATGAGAAAAATTGCTCAAATATGTATTTAGTTTCAAAAAGAGCCATCAGGAACAAAGCATATTTGTGAAGTGCTGTAATTTTTTATTAGATAAATGAAATTTAAAATCGACTTCAATTTTTTTTTTCATTGCATATCCAGTACCAGCTCTGTAGTTTTCAGCTTGATATCAACTGATATTACAAATCTACATTAAATAGAAAAAAAAAAAAAAAAAACTGAAATGTTTCATATTTTAAATTGTATCCAAATGAGCTGTTTTTAACAATTTGTGTTTTACCTTTATTTATTAAATATCATGTTCTTTGCACTTAAACCATAAAATTTAGTTCAATAGCAATGTCGCAAAATAATTTTAAAATGGTCATATCTTTAGAATTTCTGATACACAGTTCAAGTGGAGATAAAAAGGTTTTTTTCCCTCCGTAGAGTGTTGCCATTCCTCACTTTTAAATAGTTGAGTTTGTTACTCAAAAATTCATTAAAGTTTTACAAAATATGAAATCGATAATAAAACAAATTCCAAATTAGTGCTTCCAGATGCCCATATTCGGTGGAGGATTATGTTATTCAAAATTTAATGGCTCTAGGTACTTTGTTTTATCACAATGCGAGAAATTTACATACATTTATTCAGATTTTTCATTATTTAATTTCTTCAAATATAATGCAGGACTCTAACATTTTGTGGCAACAGTTTGAAAAGTGAACCAATATTTATAGGAGTCCCATGCAAAATGCCAAAATGAAAGTAATAGTCCTTACAGACTCAAATCCCTTTGGACTAATAAATTAAATATGCTAATACAAATAATACAATTCAGTGCAATAAATCACTAGGTTAATAAATACAAATAAAATATTACATTGCACCACAATATGAGTAAAGTAATACATTATACTGTAATGAAAAAAAAAATTGTTGATACAAATAATAATACAGTACAATACAAATAAAATACTATGTTAATAAATTACAATACTACATTATACTAAAAAACAAATAAAATGTTACATTAATACAATACAAATCGAATTCTAGATTAGATAATATAAGTCACAATCGCACTGAAATGCAACTGGTTCTCAGAGTGTTTTAGTAAAATGGCTACCCATTCTTTTTTGTTTTCACTGTTTACTTGTTTTTGGCCTGACAGAGTTGCAAAGGGAACTGTGTGCTGCTGTTTGCATGAGATTGTTGCATTTAAAATTAAATTTAACAATTAAATTATAATTAATTAATTTAATTTAATTTAATATTAATTAAAAAATTAATTTAAAACATACTCATTAGTTGCTTTGCCCATAAAAATCTATGCTCAGATCATTTATAAGCAAGTTAATATCCATTAAATATTACCCAAGCAGCTGTTATTTTCAGATTGAAATCGCATCCATCCATTCTTTCATCCTTTTTTTTTTTTTTTTTTTTTTTTTTTTTTTTTTTTTTATACAGTAGAGTCCACAGATTGGTAATGTCCAATCTTGTTACCTTTTTCTCCCATTTTCTGTCTTTATACTTCTGTATGGTTGTATTATTTATACTGTAAAAAAATATGTTGATTCATGATGCAGATTATTATACTGTCTTTAAAATGTGTGAATATCTCCTTTTTAAAATGTTGAAGAATATATATTGCACAGACAAATTCTTTTTAACCATGAAAAACCCCTATTTGTATTAGAGACAAGAAAAATATTAAATTGTTCTACATTAGTATTATAAGAACATTATCCTTTATAATTTCAGGATCTGTTATCAAAGAAGGAGCAACATAGTCCACAGCTGTCATCAGTTACTGATGCTGGGGAAATGATGTACCTCAGCTTGAGTATGGAAGGTCGTGATCAGATTCGTTCAGAAATGAGATGTTTGAGAGATGCATGGGATGAAAAGTGGGAGAAAGTAAATGCAGCTATCAAAAATATTGAGTCTTCTTTAATGGCATGGGGAACGTTTGAAGAAAGGTGAGTGTTGAAAATGCTAAGTAATATAGCATATTTTTAGTAGTTGTAAAGAATGTGAATATTGATAGTTAATACAATTATAGTATTGTAAGTAAATTAGTACTGTGTATAATATTTTGAACTGTAAAATTATTTTTACGCCTTTTTGCAGTATATAATGCCTTAAATCATATACACATGCTTCTTCTTCTTCTTCTTCTTTTTTTTTTTTATTAAAAAGTGTGCTTTGAATGTGTGTATTTCAATATTTCTCTGTTTATGCAGTTTTACATTTAAGAAAGAAAGCAGAAACAAATGTTGGAACTTTCAAAACAAATTTTGAATTGACAACAATCAATATTTAATATATATTTAAGTTGCCAACAGTAGATATTATTTTTATTTAAAAGGAAAAGGATTTCATGTAATAAGTTTGTAAAATGTAAATAATGTATGGGATTTATTTAAAAATAAGTTTTATCATTTATGTGCTAATTTTTTGTGTATAATTAGCTGCAAACAGGTAGCTCTTTGGTTAAATGAAGTGTCAAATCAAGTAGGAACTGGTGTTCAGTTAAAGCCTACATTGGCAGAGAAAAAACTACAATTGCAAAGCTATAAAGTAAGTATGAATGCAGTTTTTTATTTAGATGTGAATGATTTTCATAGTATCTAGTTTTTTTTAATTCCTTTTCTATACAGTCTTGATTACTTTTGTGACTTCAAAATATTCTAGAAAACAAAACATTAAATTCGTAATTTTTAATTTCTTATAATTTGATTTTAAAATTTTTTTATCTTTTTGCATTTAAAGTCTCTCTTTTTGGACTTTTTAAAACAGCAGTTTGATTTAGAACGTATTTTCAAATATAATTATTATTTAGAAGTTTCATTTTACAGAAAAGTCTTAAAAATCCGTATTTAAAATTACATTATAAAATTCAGAAATGTATTTTAATGTTTGTAGACATTAGTAATTTATGATAGCAATATTTCAGGCTATGTCTCAAGGTTTCTTGGCTCATCAAGCAGTTATTTCAAAATTAAAAGACAAAGTAAAAGCTCTTCCAGAATCAGCTCCTAAGCATGATGTTGAAGGCTTTCAGCAGCAATATGATAACCTAATTTCTGCTATAAAGGTATGTTGTTTTCTGGAAGTGAATTTTTTTAACACTATTCCTTTTGTATAAATGAAGAAACCTGAAGAATTTTCATTTGTTTTGGTATCTTGATGAATTTTTTGATTTTTTTTTTTTTATATAAAAAGAGAGAGAGGTGTGCATTTTATATGTTTCTTCTCATGATATTTTATTCATTTTCCTAACTTCTTTTAACTTTGTTACTGCGGCCTTTTACAATCATGATGTCCACCAAATGCCATTTGCCTTGCAGTATGTGCAGATTATTATTTTTCCATGTTGTTTTATGCAACAAAAGTGTTTTTACTTAATTATTTCATATCTTGATTATTCATATTCTTGCCATTTAAAGATTGTCTTGAATGATGTGTAGTAAGTCGATAACAAAGAGTGAATTTGCAATTTTAATGCAATTCCATTTTTTATGTATATTTTTGTATTATAATACAATTTTCGCAGTTGCACAGTTATGTTTCAGTTGGTGTGTTTTGATTTTGTAACAGTAATTAAAGGAGAAAGAGATGCAGCAAAGATTAATCACATTATAGATGAGCAATGCTGAAACTCTATATTTTGCAGGGGAAGAAAAACTATTAGCTGAACTAGAATGAAGTTGATCACTTGGCTTTAATTTGTATGGAATAAATCGAACTAGCATTGAGAAAAATATAAAATTTGGACTATAATAAGCAAACATGGAATTAATTGAATACAGAGAAAATTATTTGTAACAAAAGCTTCAAAATAATTGTGATACATGAAATATGAATGAAATGCTTGGTGGTTACCCAACTAATTATTTTTTACAATACAAGAATTGATGGTATCACAATGGTATTGCTTTTATGAGAAGATATTTTCCTAGTTATGTTCTTTGGCAGGAAATAGGGAAAAATTGGTTGCATTTTAGTTTGTTCCTTTACTTACAGAAACAACATTAAAAAAGTATATCAAATATCTAGCATTCAGATATAAATTTTACTTTTCGTATGTATTATTATTATTATTATCAATATATTATATATAAATCTTCCGAGATTTCATGTTCTAATGAAAAATTAGGTTGCAGATTAAATTTTATTTTTATAAAATTTGAGAACTGGGTGCAAATTTAAGTTTCCAGAAGTGGATTTTTCCTGTAGCTCTCTCTTTTTTGGAGGGAGGAGACAGTGTGTATGCATGCTGGTGTAGGTATTTAGTAGTATTGTTTTGTTCTGATTTATTTTTTGCTGTATGCTATTTTTTTTACATGCTACTTCATTTTCAAAATACCAATCTTTCTTTAATACTGAACTAATATATTTAATCCTTAAGATATCAACTATATTTGGATATCTTGTTAGAGTGAATTCTGAGAACAGTTTATTTAGTTTATTATAATTATATTTAGTTTATTATAAAGCATATTACAAATGGAAAAGCATCTTATACAATAGCTTAAATCCAAATTTAAAGTGTGTATCTAGCTTTTGTTTTAAAGAATTTTGTTGAATCTAATCATTTAAAATCTAGTCACTTAAAATAGATAGTGATCTGCTGATTTTAAGCAACTATTGGAGAAGTGATTGATTCTCTTTTTCTGAGTGCTAGTTAAGGTTGATTTATGTATGATATGTTTTCACACATTGTTGCCACTAATTGATCTTTTATTTAAGTTTGATATTGATTTCTTTTTGATAAAACCTATTCTGTTATAAACAAAGATTTGGAATACAAGGTCATCTCATTGCCTATTGATGATGTATAAGATCTCTTATTTACCTTTGTTATCATAAAATATAAAAGTTTGCTATTCATCTATGTAAAAAGGTTACATGGGATTTTACCTGTATTTCTTAGTATTATTTTGAAATACATAATTTTATGCCGTGAATGCAATAAATAAGACACATTTCAAGTAACTTAATATTATACTGACTACAGAATTTTTTACTTTTACTCTAAATTGTATACTTTATATATATATTATCTGTTTTTTTTTAGTATTTTTTATTTCCATATATTTCTGTTTAATGCTTTTATATTCAAGAAAAAAGTGCTGGAACTTTTAAACTGAAATAATTTTGAACTGATAATCAAAATTTAATATATATAAATTGGGAATAGTAAATACTATTTTTATTTATGGAAAAGTAAATAATTCAGTTTTCTTTAATATTTTTGATGCATTATTCTTTTTAAAAATTTTAATAGTAAACTTTTACTTTAGGTTTGGCTTGTAATCTGAAGTTTTTAGTTTACAAGTTAATTCCTTTCTTTTTAAATTTCTATAACAATCTAAATTGTATTATATTTTAAAAAGTTGTCATTTCATTATTGTGCATTTTTATTACGTGAATCAACTGATATGTATGCAACTTGTTTGGTTTCCTCTTTCTAGTATTGCATGTGCAATGAAATTATTGTTGATTTTACTGTTGTTTGCCATCTTAGGATGTCAAAAACTTACATAAATAGTTTTAATAGCTGTATTTAAAACTAATTTTTTTACTTTTATTAGGAGCGTGTAGAAGTTTGTGATAAACATGTATCAGAACATGAAGCTTATCGTATGAAACTGGAGCAATTTCAGGACTGGCTACGTGCACTGAAAGCTGCTGCTGATATAAATTTAGACCATAGTGATACGGAGGGCCTCAAAATGAAACTCATAGCATTATCTGTAAATATATATTGTTTTATAAGAAACTATCATTGTTCTTTGAAAAATAAGTATCTCTTCTATGCTAATATTATTGTTACTGAATATTATTTTAAAATTTGAATTATGAGATGTGAAGCAGATACATATTGGAAATTAAGAATAAATGCACAATAAATATGAAAAGTAGATAAATATATGTTATGTAGCATTTTGTTAAAAATTATATATATATATATAAGTTAATATTAAAATATTTATATATTAACTTTATATATATATATATAAATTAACTTTATTATATATATAAAGTTAATATTAAAACTTTTTTCATTTATGTGTATTTTAATTTGAATATATGTTGGAAAAGTAAAAAGTACAAAATAATCTAAATTTGTTAATTTTCATTCCATAAAAACAACTTAAATATTCTGTGTGTGAATGGAAATTTTTTTTGTTTTTATAATAACAAATAATTTCTTTCACATATTTCAAACTTTTTTAAAAGAGAAATGTTTAGAAATATGGTAGCAAAAAGTACCATAATTGATTTCATTTTTTAATTCTTTGGAATTTGCTGATCTCTCTTTTGATGAAAAGAAATAGTGTATATTTTTCTATACAAGTAAAATAAATTTGGATAAAAATTATATATGTTGCATCTTGCGTATGCCTTCAATAGAATTAATTAATTATTTTATTTATAGACTGTTATTAGTTCATTGGAGGAAGGAGAACAAAAAATAGAAGAGCTAAAGCTGCTATTAAATGACGTTCTACAGCATACAGATTCGAGAGGACATCATGCTCTTTCATCTGAATTAGAACATGAAGAAGAACAATGGGGAAGCTTCTTAAAACAATGTCAGCAGGCTCGTGATAGTATTTCAGATGCTGTTCAAGATCGTGGAAATTGTGAAGAGCTTGTTATGAAATTGGAACTGTGGCTAGCTGAGAAGGATCATATTTTGCGTGAGCAAATACTACGTAGCACTCTTGAAGCGAAACAGAATCAGCTTGAAAATGTTAAAGTAAGTTTAATTACTATAGACATTGATTTCATTAGACTTTACTTTTAGATTATATTTATATCTCATTTCTTTATGTAAGACTGGCAAATTAGAAGGGTTAAAACTGTTTGGATACATTTTGAAGTTTACCAACTTATTAAAGGAGATAATAAAATATTGCAATAAGAAAGAGGGAAATATTAGTTTGTTAACTCTGCCTGTACATAGACATATGATAATAGAGCATTGCAGAAGAAATAGTGATTGTACAATAATTTAGTATCTTTCTAAGGGCGTAACAATTTTAATTTTTTTTAAAATAATATTTATTTCTTATCTTCAACCACTTTTCTTCTTTACAGGCATTGGAAAGGGAAATATTCCAAAAGCAAGATGAGATTTCTGCTCTAAGTGTTAGAGGAGAACAAATGAGAGGAGACGCGTCTTTAGTTTCTAGAATTGCTAAAGTTCTGAACAAATATCAGACACTGAAAAATGCAGTGAAAGTAAGTTTTTTATCATACGTAAAATGTTTATTAATTTAAGTTTCGTTAACTTTCAAAGACAGCTTATTTAATATCCCAGCAGCTTAAAAATAAATATGATTTTTGTTCTTTTTTATTTACATATATTTATTTAGTCATTTCATTTTTATTTGTTTATTTTTTTCTTTAGGACTCGGTACGAAAATGGGACCTATATGTTAAAGAACATGAATCTTTTGAAACAAAACTTTTAGAAGTTACCAGCTGGTTGGAAGATTTGGAAAAGAATTTGAATAAGAATACTATCTTAGTTGGAGATATGGCAACTTTGCAGGAAAGGAAATCATTTCTGGAAGTGAGTGAAGCCTGAAAAGGAAGTTTTTATTTTAAATTCTTATGGTTAGTTATTATATAGTATTTCTTAAGTGCCAAATGTCCATGAATTCTGGGAAAAAGGTAAAAGTTTCTGAGCAGGAACTAATATGATTAATTCCTTGTTGTCTGAAGCCTTGAATAGGTAAATTAATATGTAAATTTTTAAAGCTAAATAGGCAAATTTAACTTTTTTATAGAATAAATATTGATAAAAATTATAATATTACAATTTTTCAGAAATATATTTCATCATATAAAATGATATAAGTTAGTGAATATATTTTAATTCAGAATACAGTTACAGCTCTAGTCAAAGGAACATGGTACACCAATGTTTTCAGATAAAAATACCTAATTTAAGAAGGAGAACAATGCAGAATATTCTGCTTATTGAAGAAAAGAGGGTTTCATTATATTTTTTAAAACTAATACTAATGTAATTTTGAATTTAAATTCGTTTTAAATCATGTTAATTTTTTTCAAATTACAATTTTTTTTTCTAATTTGATATAATATACAATATGTATAAGATATGTATTAGATTGTGATTTTATAATTCAAATACTGGTATTTTTTTTTCAGTCTCTCAGTGATCAACTATCACAGAATTTATGTCAGGTAGAGGCAACTATTGAATTAGGTGAAAGGCTGTATTCTTCAACATCTCCTGAAGGAAGAGAAATTATTAGGCAAAAGATAAGGTATGATTTAATGATTGCAAAATCATATTACTTCTGTATAATGTTTTATTTACTAATTTGTATGTAAACTGGCAATATGAGCTTAGCTTTCCTGCTAAGTATGAAGAATTTTTTTTTTAAAGAAAATTTATGTTAGAAATGAAATACTTGTAACAGTATAGTATAATACAAAGACTAGTAGCTAAATATCATAGCAGTATAATAACAAGATTGGTAGGGCAGTTTGTAATTAATTAATTGTAACATACAAACATATTTTGTATTAATAAGATAAGTATTATTTTAAGAGGTTTGAAAATACTTTTAATATAAATAATGTAAAAAAATCGAGTTATAAATTAAGGATTTAATTTAATGTGATTTTATTATAGTGTTTTTATTAATGTATTCTACTTTTTTCTTTTTAGGAATATGACAGTTCTGTTTCCATAAAATTTATTTTGTTTATAATAAAATGTGTAGTAATAAAATAAATTTTATAATAATGTTGGAAATGGGGGAAAAAAGAAGAAATAAACTTTTCCTAAAGCCATTTTCATTGTATACATTTCAAATGTAGGGAATTTCATTTCACTTACGATGAATTTCTGTAATGACCAGAATAGCTCAATAGATTTGTAAATGATTTTTTAATTAAATAACATTTGATTGTACTTGTAAATATTATATATTATTTTTAATTTATATTTTTTTTATATTTTTAATTTATTATATATATATTTAATAATCTATATTATTTTTAATTTAAAGTGGTATTTTTAGTTACTTTCTTTCAAAATATGAATACTTTCTTTTTAATACAGTAGTTACTACCTTCAAATGCAAAGAGGAGATTTGATGTAGGAAATAAATGCCATTTTAACTAAATTTAACTGCTGTCTGTTGTTTAATCTTAATAAATAATGGTAATTTATGGTTAAATTACATAACACTGAATGTTATAGTAATGTACTTTCTTTATTTTCTGATAATAAGCATTTCTGAAGTTTCTTGCCTGAAGCTCTGAAATTTGGGAATTTTATGGTTTCTTTGTGAATTTGTTTCATTGCTTTCACAGAGTAACTGCGGTAATGATTTTTTTCTTTATATGTCTGATGCTAAATTTTGAATGTAACATTGTATTGATCCTCCCTTTTATATATTAACTAATTGTGGAGGAACCTAGTGAACTTTCTGTTTCTGGACTTAAGCCAAAAATAGAAAGTAAAACTCAAGAAGGGTTAATTACCCTTTATATCTCAAAATAATGTTTGACAGATGGTCCCTTTCTCATTACGTACAACAAAGCCTCCACTTGGGCTTAAACACAAAAATGTAAGAAATAAGAACTTAATTAATGACTAACTAAAGAGACTTAGTCGAAGCTAACACAATTTCTAATTAGTAGGTCCCTAATGGGGCATGTAATACGGCTGAGTGTGGCAACAGTTTAGAGAGACATAGCCAAAGGGCAAACACACACTATACAGGAAATCTAATTCTCTCTCTTGAACTCAGTGAACTTTGACTTGAATATTCTCTACTACTCATTTGCATTTAACATGATTCTAAAAACTCATTCTGGCTAGGAATTGTAAGCTGAAGCTAGAAGAGACAGGAATGGAGCTTAAAAATAACTATTATAAAATTAGGATGTAGCTTACAACATGTTTGAATAGAGTTTGTTTAGACTATTTCTACTGCAATATAGCAACTATTGTACTTCAACATATTTTCTAATTAAAATGAATATTTTTGATATCTCATTGAGTGTCATTTAAAATTATGATCCAGTAATCTTTTAATATGTTAATTAATCTTTAGCACAACATATTTTTTTAAAAAACTTTTTTTTTTTACAAATTTCAGAAATCTACAAAAACAATGGGAAGCTTTACAAGAAAAATGTAATGCAGGTCTTAGAGCTGCTGATTCATGCCTTCAGAAGCTCAACTCATTTTCTCAAGGTCAAGAAAGGCTGTCAAAGTGGTTGCAGGAAGTTGGCTTGTCTGTTCAGCAGCACACAGAACCAAAATCAACATTACAGGAAAAAAGAGTACAAACGCAGAGTCAAAAGGTATAGTTAATGTAAATGTAGAGTAATTATGCATATGAGAAATTGTGTGGTATTTACATTCCTTCAGTTTTTTTTTTTTTTTTTACTTCAAACTTTAAGAAACACTTCAGTTTCCAAGAGAAGGGGGAACACTACTACTACATCTAGATTCTTATGCTTGGATACTATATTTGAGTAATTTGTATTTATAATTTTCTATCTGTTATTTTATCTGGTGTGGTGAAAGTTAATTAGAATATAAAACTCTATACATGAAACGTGAGCATTTTATTGTTTATGATATGTAATTCTGCTGCAAGGACATTAGCAAAATTTTCAAGCTTGGTTAACAATTTACTTTTTTATTAATAAAATTTTAAAAGATTGCTTTTATTTTCTTTATCTACTCATCCCAGATTTTTATGTTTCCTATTTTCATGCAAAATGTATGCTTGTGAAATAGACAATGATATCACAAACAAGAAATTGTGTTAATTGAAAGTAAATTTCTAGTTACAAATAAAGTAAGAGTTTTAGAATTAATGGAAAAGAAAATAAAAGGAAGGAAAGTATTGCCAAAATCAAAGTTTTTAATGAACCATTTTCTTAAAACTTTCTTCTTGTTATTTTTTCTGTTAGTGAATGGATAAACAGAATTTCTCAAATAAATAAAATGAGCTTTCTGTATTAGAATTAGAGCTACTTGATTTTGTCTACGATAGTACTGATATGTACATTTTAATTAAATTTGAGGGGATAAAATTTTGAGTTTCAGAAGACAGTTCATGTTTTAATTATTAATAAATAATACAGTCAAAAGTCATTAATCCAGACTCGTCGGGACTTCGGTGATTCCGGATTATCGATTTTTCCGGATTATAGATCATCAGTTTAAATCTGGTAAGATGGCATGCAGAAATTATAAAATTAAAAAATATGAAACCGTAATTTATGAAATAAAGAACAATTATGATCTAAAGGCTATCAAAATTTACAAAAAAGAGAAAGCTTAATATTTATTTGTTTACTTCATTAAACATTTCTTTCAATGTAAGTTGTTTAAGTTGCTTCATTTTTTATGTGATAATACATTCTCTTTAATTCTTTAAACAGACATAATTTCTTGTTCAGTTACAAAGTTTCGCTGTTCAAGTCCTATAATTGCTGTGTCGAGAATACCGATAAATTTGTCAATTGAAATTTTTTCGTTTTCAATAACCTCTGTTACTTTCTTCGCTATCGGAAGCGAATTATAATGACGAGGAATGATTTAAATCATATCAAAGATGAAGTACATCAAGATGAAATACTACATTTAATACGGAATTATAAGCCAAATAAAATAAAAACATCTGCCCTGAAGATAAGGATAGTGCTGACAGATCAACTTCCAATTCATAGCGCGGCGCCGCCGCGTTAAAGATAAACAAACGCTAAAGTTTAGATAAACAAAGGATATGCCTTTATCCATTCCATTTTTGTAGCAATTCCACTTTTTGTTTAATGAACTTCGAAACATACTTTCGCTTTGTAGATCATTTACATATTAATAAATATATATCAGAAATTCTGTTTGACATAATCGAAAGTTCAAGCTTACTTTTATAAAATTGCTCTAACAGTCTGCAAAAAATAATAAGCCGGATCCAATTCGAAGATTAAGGAACAACGCAATCTGCAACATTAACTGAAATAGATAATTAAATAATTTTAGCTTACCTTATACCGTCCGTTATACATTAAATGCGCACTCATAAACGTATTTATCATAAACGCACAAGCATATTCCCAGCCGTGAAGGTCTTACGCGCATGCGTCAACGTGACGCATGCGCAGAATGTTTGAAGCTTTGAGGTCCGGATTATAGATCATTCCTGATTATGGGTGTCTGAATTAATGACTTTTGACTGTATTTTGGTTTTAAGGTATTATATCTATATTTTATCTACAATGCATATTTTGTTATCACAATTAATGAGGACTCAGAACAACTTTTTATTTATAAATTTATGGTGGAGTATAATAAATAACATTTCGTAAACATTTCCAGCAATTAAGAATTAGAGTCATTTAGACTAACTTCAGTATTAAGTATTAAACTAAAATTTATTGCTGAGAAACTTTGAAACTATTTATAGTCATTAGTTTAATTTAATTGAGAGAAATTAATCTATATGCAAACCTTGGATCTTTCAGGAGAGTTTAACTATTTAAAATTATTCATTTATAATTAAAAATTAGAACTAGTAAGTTCATTTTAAATGCAAAAAATAAAAAAAATAATAAAAGCATATTAATGTCATGTTTATTACTTTAACTTATTCCTCTGAATGAGTGAGTGGGGAAGCTGCTTAATATTTTTTAATATTAATTTAGAAAAATTGCAGATATCATGAAATAGTTTTTAAAGCTAATTAGTTTCTTGCAATTCAGTAGCTTTCATTTTTTATTTTATTAAGGTTATACACCAAGATATTCTGTCTCATAAACCCTTGGTTGATGTTGTTTCTGAGAAAGCAAAAGAATTGATGTCTGTTACTGGAGATAATTCAATTCCTTCGTACATACAAGATGTTCTTATGATGTATAATGCAATGTGCACAAAATCTGAGGTACTTTTTTAATATACATATTACAAAATTCTATATTTTTTCCCTTTATGCAAAAAGCCAATAACTGAAATTCATTAAAAAACTTGTTGCCTTATTTGTATATTAAATTCTAAAATGTGAATTTAAATGTGGAATAAAAAAGGAAACTAAATAATTGTCACATTTTTCAAACTAATACTGTCCTATTAAAAATCCCTCTTTTGAATATTTTTTACATTAGTTAAGTGTGTTTTAATATGATCTGTTAACATTGCTCCATTTTAGTTGTAATGTCATTTTCTATAATTAGAAATCAAAATATCTCATTTTTAACTTTTGAAGTCCAATATGGGTAAGTTTAAATCAAGTAAATATTATTTAAATTGTGTTGAAAATGTAGATGATTAATGGTGTTTGTCTTTGTGTATTATATAGTCCGCCATTTCTTTATCATAAAGCAAATCAATTAACCTCTCTTTCTAGTGTAACAAAGTTCTAACGTGATTTTTTTAAGAAAAATTTTACAGATCAATGATCTATAAAATTGAATTTTGTTTTATTGCTGTATGTCTGTTTCAAATATCATGAATTTGTAGTATTTTCTGAATTGTAATCACAAATTTGAATTTAGGGTCTGCTTGGAAAACTGAATGAGAGTATTAATGATCACCAATCATATATAGAGCAGTGCCGAGCATTTCAGGAATTTCTCTCATCTTGTCATATAAAACTTCAAGAATGTAAAGACACAACTGGGGATAAAAGGATGATTCTCAACCGTTTAGATATATTAAAAGTGAGTTTTAGCAATTTATTTGGTCTTCATTTTAACTTATTTCTCGTGAAAAGAAAGAGAATACTTATAGCTGAAGTACATACTTTGAGCATAGCACACACTTTCTTGTTTCCAGGATCTTATAAGCAAAGAGTCTGAAGGAGACAGAAAACTAGCTGACTTGGAGACATTGTGTGAAGTTGTTTGTAAAAATACAAGTGAGTATGGATGTGAAATTATTAGACATGAGATGAAAGATATGACAGATTCTTGGAGCCAATATAAAATATCATGCTTGGAAAGTAAACACAATTTAGAAAATATTATTGAACAGTGGAGAAGTTTTGAGAAAAATGTGGAAATAATTAATTTGTGGTTCAAGGACATAGATGTTGCTTTAAAACAACCTCAGTTAAAGTCAACACTAACAGAAAAGGAAGAGCAGTTATCAGCTATCAAGGTGAGTTATGAAATGATTTGTAGTGTTGTCATTTTATGTAGTTCTGCTTTCATCATTCGTTTTGCAAATTTATTTTGTTGTTATTTTTAATTGGTTCATTAAAATTAATGAATTTTTATTCATTTATATTGTAAAATAAACATAACTTAAAAAATATTTATAAAAAAAAATTAACATAAGTAAATAAACAAATTTTTGCATATTATTAATGTAGTAAGTACAATATCAAATTTGAAAAGTTATTAATTTTCTCTCTTATAACCAAAATTGGCTGAATAAGGTTAAAAGTGTTGGAATCCATTACAATGTAGAAATATCTGGTTGTAATGAACGTTTTCCACCAAAAAAGTTCTTAAAAAAAGTTAGGGAAAAAAAAACATGAAAGCAGGGCCTTTATGTGCAGTTAGTAATCACCACAGAAATCTATGATTTTCTGCCAATGTTTTGGTAGTTTTCCAAAGCCTTCTGCATAGAAACTTAATGGCTGCGAGTCCAAAAGCAGTTACTTCATTTCAGACGTCCTATACAGAATGGAAGATAGTACCAACAAGATGTAGTTGCAAGTGTGTTAAAAAGGAGTGATGTCGGGGCTATATGGTGGATATGGCAAAATATGGTGGTCTTGCATTATCTTGATGGAACATTACCTATTTGCATTGGAACTTAATTCAATGTTTTTCCTTGATAGCAGCATCAACATGGACTAGCATTTTACTGTGCACCTTACTGTCGAGGTTTTTACCTTTTTTCCAGATATTCTTTGTGGATAATGCCATGGCAGTCCCACCAGATACAAAGATGATCTTTTTGTTTGTCAAATTCTGCTTTGTGGGTGCAGATAAAGCCCTTTTTCAGCCTGTGTTGTGGAAGCAAACTCACTTTTCATCACAAGTTATGATGCAGTCCATAATTTTGTCCTTGTGTTGATATTCAAGCAAATTAGTGAAGGTCCAAACACATTGTCTCTTCTTATCTGCTTGTGTCAGCTCATGCGGCACCCAGTGACTGAACTTGAACGTCAAGTTTATGCGATGCATAATATGACTAATGGACATGGAACTAACCTCTAACTCGTTAGAAAGCTCTCAAATGGTTGCATACTGATCTTCTTCCACATGTTCTTGCAGGCAGGCCTCATCATTGTTAGTAGGGCGGCCAGAGTGCTCTGCTTCTTGAATGTCATACTCCTTGTTTTTGAACTTTCAGTGCCAAACCTTCACAGTATCATATGATACAACATTAGTACCTAAAGCTATATACGTGATTTGGTGATATTCTGTAGCTGACTTTTTGCAGCAGAACTGGAAGTAAATGATGGTTCTAATCTGGTAGCTTGATAGTTCCATTTCAGACACTTTGTGCTTAATGATAACAGTATTGTTTTACAAATTTCACAGCAGTTATTCTAAAGAATATTTCTTTCTTTCAAATGCTAAAAATTGTTTTTGACAAAATATGATTAAACACCCCAACATAAACTTTGTGCAGACGATATTTGTGGCAGCGGGAAACTTTTGGTAAAACTCGATAATTATATTATCATAAATTTAGATTAATTTAAAATTCCAGTTTAATTGTTTTCTCTTCCAATCTGATTTCTGTTTCAGTTTATTTCTTTTCCTATATGAATTGTATTAATTTCATTTTAGTTAAATGACAAAGTTCTAAATTTTCTGCTGTTTATGTGAAATCCTTTTTGGGAATGGTTTTGAAACGAAGACATACAGAAACAAAATAGTAGTAGTGAAAGAAATCTATGATGAAATGAAAATGACTCTTTTTTAGTGCATATCAGTTAAAGAATGTGCACATATGCATTCATGTGTATGTTATATATATACATACATATGTAAATGCATACACTTTGATCAGGAAAATTAGTTTATGAAATATCAGAAATAACACCCACCTACAAAACTACTGTAAATTAATTTTCCCACATTCTTGTCATTTGATTGGTCAGAAATAGTATTAAATACTGAAAATCCTCTTTTTTATTGAAAAAAGGGAGGAAATGGTTAAACTTCTGCATTTTTGAATTTTTAGATACAAAGAAGAAAGGGGAAAATGCCATTTATCATTTTTAAATAGAATCTGAAATTTATCAGGTTATAAAAGATAGGGGGTCTTTTTTCTTTCATTTTTTATAAGAGTTTTTATTAGAAACTCAATATAGCAGAGAGTGGTTACTTGCATGCATGAGAATAAATAATACACAACATACCTGTTGGGAGTTTGGAACACAAGTGAAGTTTTATTAGAGTGTACAGTTATAGAAGAATATAAAAACAGTGGCGCCATCTATGGGCCAAGAACATATTTAACTCTTTCGCATCGAAGTCGCCTGTAACGCCCGTTCATTCAGGCAATGGCAAACCGCCCCAACGCCTCGTTTATTTTCTATTTAGTTCTTTCCCCTCCATGTTAGTGTATGGCTCATTGGTTTCGCGAGTTGTTAAAAGACATGTCAATCATTCTTTTGAAGCAAATAAAGGAGAAATACGGAAAGCTATTGACGTTCGCAGGTGCAATCCGGCCTTAAGGTAAAACTGCACACAATGGATCTACCAGGCAGGGGGAAAGGAAAACTATTCCAAGACAAATTCGTAAACACGGGCGTTTTCGATGTTTGTTGAAAACAGATTTGGTCGTCTCTCAATGCGAAAGAGTTAAAGCTAACCTTTTTTACACTCCCACTTTAGGTTTAAATATCATCCTAATTAACTACAATGAGAAATTACATTGGTCTTCATTTTAAACCCATCATTTTTGCACACATTTCATGTTTTGCACTGTTTACATTTTTTGTCAAAAAGTCTGCAATCATATCATTAGTAGTCTTATATTGTATGTCAATGTGCTGAAGTTTAACAGCTTCTCGCACGAAATGATGTTGTATATCAATATGCTTTGATCTACCATGATACACACTATTTTTGCTGAGATTAATAGCACCGTTGTTATCTCAGTATAATAATACTGGCTTTGCAGTAATAATCCCAAGTTCTTTAACAATTTTGTTGAGCCATGGCTTCTTTAGTAGCTGCAGAAAGAGCCATATATTCGTCTTCTGTTGTACTAGTTGCAATGGTTGGTTGACGCTTACTACACCATGACACTGCACCACCTCCGATGAGGAAAACATATCCAGTGGTTGATCGTCGATCCCCAGCATCACCTCCATAGTTTGAGTCGCTGTAACCAAGGACATCAACACTATAGTCCTTTGAAAAAGACAATGTAGCATCTGTAGTGGCTCGAAGATACCGCATGATGCGCTTGACAGCATTCCAGTGAACCCTTGCCAGATTATTGGAGAAGTGGCTAAGGAAATTCACAGCATAAGTTATATCTGGCCGTGTTGCTTGAGCTGCATAAAGAAGACTCCCAATGGCAGCCTGATAAGGAACAGGGAGCTTTTGTTCCTTACTATTTGGTATCTGCAGTTTAAATAACACTTGATTTTGGTCTAGTGGTGTTTTTACACCATGAGATTCATGCATATTATATTTGCAAAGCATACTCTCTACATACTGAGTTTGACTAAGGCTAATGGACTCTTTAGTTCTATCTCGTTCAATTTTAATTCCTAAGCAATAATTTGCTGGTCCCAAGTCTTTCATTTCAAATTTTTCTTTAAGTTGTTGTTTTACCCAATTTTTAAGTTCTATGTTATTACTAAAAATGAGTAAGTCATCAACATAAATAGTAACAATAACATGATCTTTATTTCCATTTATTTTAATATAGACACAACTATCAAAAGAACTTTGCCTCAGCCCCATTTCTATTAAACCCTTTTCTAACAGTTGGTACCATAATCTACCACTCTGCTTTAAACCATCTAATGCTTTGTTTAATTTTAGGACCTTTCCCTTTAAGTTTTGCTTGTAAAATTCACTGAAACCGTCTGGAATTTTCATATAAATGTCTTCATTTAGAGTTCCCTGTACAAAAGCCATTACAGCATCCATGTAGTCAATTTCCCAATTATATATAGCTGCATAAGCTAATAAAACTCTTAATGTTACGTATCGGACAACTGGTGCAAATGTTTCAGTATAATCTATTCCCTCAATCTGAGAATAGCCCTTAGCAACTAAATGTGTTTTATATCTTTCAATCTTGCCTACTGAATTACATTTAATTTTGAAAACCCATTTACAATCTACAATGTTCTTATCATAAGGTTTATCTATTATTTCCCATGTTTTGTTTTTAATATGGCCTAATATGGTCTCACATATAGAATCCTTCCAACGGTTTGCATCATTCCCCTTAATGCTTCATCAATGGTTTTTGGTTCAGAATACACACCATTTGTTGCTGCTGCCAAAGCTTTAACAAAGCACATTCGATCTAAATTTGGCATTGGCATTTCTGGCACCCCATGTGTGTCAAAGTCCTGATAACTATCTGGGAATCTTAAGTTTTCTGTTTCTAGTCAATGTAGGTAGTTCATCAACTACACTACTGTTATCATGGCTATCATTTTGAGCAGTATTATGTCCATCGTGATTAGAATTAATGCTAGTATTAACTAATTCATGATCAGACTGAGTATTATCATTAACCATCCCTTCCAATTCAGCGTTCTGATCATCAGCCATTGCATTCTTAGTATCTGAAAATATCGTAATCACGCTCCCACTGAATGAGGATTCATCATAGAATTTTGGCATATTACTTGCCTTTTTGTAGTACATTTCATTTTCCAAAAATTGTACATCTCGTGCATTTATTATTTCATAAGTTTTGGGATTTATTAATCGATAGCCTTTTCTATCCTGACAGTACCCAACAAGCATTAATTCCTTTGCTTTTATATCCCACTTTTTACGTTTTTGTTTTGGAATGTGAGCAAATGCACGGCATCCAAATACTCTCAAGTATTCTAAATTTGGCTTATCCCCATACCATTTTTCATAAGGGGTCATACCTGCAACTGCGATAGTTGGAGATATATTTTTACAGTGATTTGCAGTCTGCACTGCTTCAGCCCAATAATTTTGATCAAGGTGAGCATCCACCAACATTGATCGTGCTCATTAGCAACTAAATGTTTACCATCATACACAAAACATCTTTCACTTGTAAAAGTACAAACCATTCCAAATACTATATTTAAATACTTAATGGACATCAAATTGGCTGTTAACTTTGGAACATGTAAAACATTACTAAAAGTTACAGACTCCCTTTTTTTTATTTCTAGATAAGAGGAAAGTTATTTTACCCTTACCCTCTACTTCTATTACTGAACTTCCTGTTTTTATTTGATGAATACTAGCATCCTGATAATCATCTAATAATTCTTTATGTGGAGTCATGTGGTAAGAAGCACAAGAATCCATGTACCAAATATTGGGATGTGGATTAGAATTAGCTACTCTAATTTCCACTACATAAGCTTCTTCCCCTTTTTTATGTTTTAATCCAACATTAGACTTTTTGTTAAGCTTGTTTTCATTATATCTATCCCTTTTGAGAGGTGACTTCTGACAATCGGAGCTTTTGTGGCCAAACAAATTGCATTTAAAACATTTTCCTTTAAAGTACCTTTTGCTTCCAATATTTTTATTAACAAATGCGTATTCCTTACTTTCATTGACTAGGGGTTTTGAATCTTCGGCTAACAAGCGATTTTTAACATTGTCAACTGTTATTGCCTCACCACAATTTTTCAAAGCCATTATAAGAGGTTCAAACCTATCAGGTAAATTAGCTAAAATTATTCCTGCAGTTAATTCTTTTATCAGGTTTAACATCCAGTAGATTTTAACTTGCTGATAAGCTGAAATGGGCCTACGTAAATAGTCAGATATATACTTGCAATCAGTATAACGGGTTTTTACTAATGTTTTAATTATTGAAACCTTTCTTATGATTCCCTTATCCTCATATGTTTCAGCTAATACTTTCCATAC